GAAACTTGTGATGTCCCAGCGCTCATTCTGCACGCCCCTTGCGTTTGGACGTGTGGCCTCCTCCAAAGATAACTTTGGTCAAGCTACAGGATCTCCAGCTCCTCGGTTCTCCYCGAGTCTCTCTTTTCCCCGCTGTGCAAGTGAGGTCCAGCTACGAAATGTCCTTTCATTATTTATGCTGCGCCTGTTGCAACCCATAACCTGATATCTGCTCCTCTGTCTAGAGAGCAATAAATGACCTGGGAGTAAAGTATTCAACCCCAACTTAGCAATTAATTCCTGGCTGCGTGACAGGCTCCTTATATGACAAGATGCCACAGGCTTGGCAAGTTACTTTATCCTCCTGCGCATCCAGTTGCCCGCACGTGGGAAGGAGAGTCTGGTTTTACTTCTCCGTAGCCCCTTGGTGCCAAGGTGGTCTCAAGCCGGCAGCTGGGAGCTGCTTCTGCCTCTGGGGAAGGAGCCCCCTGAGCGGTGTCTCGCTCTGGGTCACAAGAGCGCGGGAAGGGGGTCCTGGGGGAGGCCGCCCAGCTGCTTCCGCAGGGAACTGGAAGCCGGCGCTTCTGAGAAAACCCGGATTGCTCCGCAGGATGTCAGCCCCAAGGACGCTGCCAGCTCTTCCTCCTGCCTCTSCTCCGCAGGAAGCCCCTTCTGTGGGGGGAGGTGGCGCAGGGGCAGCGGAGGAAGAGGAGGGATGATGCACATCCTGGCGCTCCGCGGCTCTGGGAAGCGTCTGCACCCCCATGCCGTGGCCACCCTCCGGAGGGGCCGTGTCCCACCAAGGGGGACCCCATGAAGGGGGAGAAAGGGGCCCGAGTTACGGGCTTGCCCGAGGAGGGCAGGCTCTGCAAGCAGCTTCCGCAGACCCCGTGTGGGGCTACGTGCTCCCTCACGATGCTCCAGCTGCCGCAGATCCTCGGGAAGCAGCGYCGGGCTCGCGCTGTTGCCCCATAGGGCTGCCCCCCCCCGCCCTCTGCAGCGGCAGGGGGCCGCTGTCGCGGCCTGTCTCCGACAGTCGCCCGGTGGGAGAACTGGGATCCGAGGCGGCGGGAGCTGCTCGGAGAGCAATGCTGGCCGCTGTGAGCACAGCGGGGTCGGGCCCTTCGCAGGGCTCAGAAGTGCTTGGGGTCGTGCTGCAATTTGGTCACGTTCGCGCTGTTGCCCATCACGGGGGTTGCTGCATCTCGGGGGGCTCCTCTCTTCCTCCTCACAGCAGGGTCCAAGCAGCAGCTACGCCTGCCTTTGCCTTTCATTTTTTTCCTTTTCTTTTTTTCTTTTTTTTTTCCCTGCATCGTGCCGAGCAGGAATTTCTGAAATCCCTTGTTAAAAGCAAGTCTTGCGGACAGCCCTGGCAGGCAAGATCCAGCTGGAATAGTCTAGCTGTCTGGGGAAGCAGCAATAAATCTTTGCAAGCTGGAAAACTGCAGGGAGGAGGAAATGCTTGGGAGCCTGGGCCAAGCTGCCTCCCCATGCCGGGAAACGCGCTTGGGGCTGTCCCTGTTGGGCACAGTGTGTAGGGGGGGCACAGACATGCAAGGCAGCGCTGGTGTCCTGACATAGGCTGGGCTCGGCCTAAGGTTAGGGGGAGCTTTCTGAAGGGGCAGGCAAGAGGCATTGCGTTGGGTTGTGTCGTGTTGGATTGTGTTGGGTTGGGTTGCGTTGGGTTGTGTTGTGTTGCGTTTGATTGGGTTGGGTTGCTTTGGGTTGACTTGGGTCGCATTGGGTAGTGTGGTGTTGCGTTGAATTGGGTTGGGTCGCGTTGGGTTGGGGGCCATATCTTTTGCTGCAGCAGAGCAGCTGGTCATGGGGAGAGGGTTGGCATCACGTCAAGCATTGGCTGGTGAGGGAAGGAGATCCCTAGCGTGCAYGCAGAGCAGCTGCCTTGGCCAGACAGCCGTAGGCTGCCCGCCACAGAGGAAGCAAAGCAGACGCGTGAGCGTGCCAGCCCCTCGGGCCASGGTGCCTGGTAGAGAGGAGCCTGGAGGGGCAAAACGCTGCTGCGATGCCCTTTCCTTCRCTCCTCCGTCCACACGTGGGGAGCGTGTCCTGGAGGGGGAGCCTCCGAGCAGTTGTCTCCGGTAGCGCCTCGCTGGTGTTGTCCCCAGGGCCACGGGGACGGCGAGTCTCGCAGYGAAGCCAACGGGGGCTTCTCCCTCTTGCTCTCTTCCCTTTGGAAAGAGAGATGCTGTAGTTATAATCCTGGGCTTTTTTTGGTAGTGGAAGGACTTGTGGAAAAAGTTGTTCATCGTTGACTGAGCCCTGTTTTCATTAGTAAGCTAACATCGTTTTCTCTTAAGAAACTCAGTTGCTGTTGGATTAAAACTTCCATTTGGAGTTCGGCTGTGCTCTGTTAAAAACCCAAATGAAGTCAGGTGGCGAGGGCAGGAGCTGCTTGGGCTGAAACCTGGGATATTTGGGGGTGGTGCGGATGCTTCCTCAGTAAGCCAGACCTAACTGCTGGGGTGGGTTGGACAGTCGGAAGAGACAATATCCCCTCAGTGCGTGTTACTGAAAAGAATGTAAACTTCAGAGAACAGCTTGCTGTTTGCTGTGGTTYGGGCACTTCAGTGCACGTCTAATTTGAAATCATCTGCTGCTGTTCACKTTGGAGCAAACGGCTCTTACTGTAGCTTTGCTGCTGGGGTTTTGCACAGGGCTGGTGCAAAGTCCTTGCCCTCTGTATCCTGGTCCAGATACTGCTATCTGCTGAGCACACAGGGCAGCGTGCAGGGGCAGGAGCAATGCCCGAACGTTTGGGTTTTGTTCTGCCAAAATTTCTCACACTGGGAAGAAGAAAGCAGATAAGAAAAACTGCTCTCTGTCTAAAAACGTGTAGCTTTCCTTTCAGCATTTTTCAAGCCACCTCTGGGTCACCTCTTCAAAATGTGGTCGCTGCACTGGAAGCCAGGGTTACTATGGCAATTTGGGGAGGGATTTCTTCTTTGCTCTTCCCTCCTATCCTTCCCTCCATCTCTGCTCCCTCCCTGCGGAATCCCAAGTGGCCAAACTGCTCGGCGCGTCCTAGATCCGCGGGCTTTCTGAGGGTGGAAGGCACGTGCCCTCACCCGTGCAGATGTGCTCCTCGTTGCAGCTGGCAACCAAAAAAGCACCAAAATGAGTCCTGTTCCCCCAAACCAGGGCTTGGTGCTGACCTCCATCCAAGCCTTTCTGTAAAAACTATACCGTGCATGCAGTCTCTGCTGGCCAGCACAGAAACCCAGATCTTCTTGAAGACTTTGCTCCCCATGGGAGCCACAGAAAGACCTTTGCTTTAAAAGACAGTACTGCTTAAGTTTGGGACTGGCTCTTTATCCCCAGAGGGATAAATAAACGTGGGTTTTATTATGTTCCTAGACAATGAATGAGAAATAGCAGGCTGGATTTGGGTAACTTTCTGCTAAGGCACTAGCTGCCTTATTTGGAGCTGAGCTTGAGCACGGGGCTGCCTTTTGTTGCTTTTTCCATGGCAAGGAGCTCGGGCTCTGCAAGGCAGGCGAGATAAGGCAGCGTCCTGGCAGGCCAGGGGCACTGCCTCCTGCAGAGCACGTGTTGGAGCCGATCCRCTTCGTTGGAAGCAAAGGAGCAGGGAGGCTCACCAGAATCCCCTTCCCTCTCCCCAAGGGCAGGATGGTGGGGACCTTTTCCTTCCACTGACTGGATGTGGCAGCTCGGGGGTCGGACTGTGCTGTGCATTCTGCACAAATGGTGCATTTGCCATGGAGGGGCTTTTTGGGGCAACCCAGCAAGAATCTCTTTGCTGGGTTTTGCAGGTYACGAGGAAGAAAACCACCAACTGACCCTGGAAAGGGCCAAGTTAGGCTCCCACTGAGCAACATTTTGGAAATCCCAGTCCACGTGTTAATTTAGGCTCTGCTGCAGCTGCTCACTTACAGATTTTGTGCTATTACCAAACGAGCTCTTATTTTAGATGCAGTCTTCGTAGTGCCTTATGTGCTGGTAGCTCACCTGACTCAAAGAGCTTTGTGAAGAACATTCCTTTCTTCCTCCATGATCTGCTCAAGCTGGGAATGTGAACTGGGAGCGGGGGAAAATAGCAAATGTGGGGCCTGGGAGAGACTTTGGGCAGGGAGAAAGAAGTGACGGTTCTCCCAGACACTTTCTCATCCCTGCTCTGGCCTTTCCTTCCTACCCAGTTTCCAAAAAATACAGATGGGAGGGTGAGATGAGAGGCATGCGCTACCTCATTGCAAATATAACGTTGTTCGGACTTAAATTATAAAATCCTGAGTGTATAGCTAATGGCATCAAAAAAAAATGGTCCCTAAAATGTCAGTTGTAAGTTTCTTGCTTCTTAGGTAAGCCTTAGCATTTTGTTTTAACAGCGATATAAAATAACTCGTAGGAAAGAAGTGGCCTACAAGAACTGGAAATCACTTGGCAGAGGCTCGGGGTGAAAGATGGTCTTGCAATCGATGAGGACTGTGTGAATCATGCAGTCCACAGCCTGGAAAATGTTGCTGTGGGCTGCCTGTGCTTCCAGACACGTTGCAGAGGTGGGGCGAGGCTGCACAGAAAGGATGTTCTGGGGAGCTGGAGGTCTCCTTAGCAGATCGAGTCTCCTTGTGCTTACCCGGAGTAGCGAATGCCCAGGGAAGCTGTGGAGGGAACAGCTCACAGCAAGCGGCCGACACCGGGCCCAGGGCTGGGAAGGGGGGAAGATGCTTCCCGCAGCCTGGGCAGGCTGTCGCTGCTTGAAACGCTGCCCGTTTTCCATGCTGGGAGGGAGATGGGGTTTGTTTCGTCCAGGCACACAGAGGAAAACGAGAACTCGCAGCAAGCTGGAAGGGAAGCTCAGATTATTGCCTAAGCCTGAGCTGGGAGATAAACTGTGGCTGCTATCAAGGGTCTCTCTCATACCTGAAGCAGTTCCCTAAAACCAGTCCTCAAAAAAAGCGAGTTTTTCCTGCCCAGAGGCGCAGACCGGGCTGCTGTGGGTGCTGCAGCACTTAACGTGTGGTTTCCATCTTCTCTCTCCCCAGCTGGCCGGAGGGATCATCCTCGGGGTGGCCCTGTGGCTCCGTCATGACTCGCAGACCACGAACATCCTGTACCTGCAGCTGGGGGAGAAGCAAGCCCCCAACACCTTCTACGTTGGTAAGCAGCCCCTGGGCAGGCGGGTCGGGAGCTGGCCCCACTCCGTGGGTGTTTCAGCCCCGGGTGGTTTGTTGGGATGCACCATGGAAGCRCAGCGTAGAGGGTGGTGCTGTATGGAGAGGAGCTCCATGGGTGAGGAGCAGACTTGGCAAAACACGCTATAAGCTGTAGCTTAAAATAACTGCTGCTGCTTCCCTGGTTTTCCCCCAAAACGTCCACCACATGCAGGTCCAAATGTTTGTCACGTGTCACCTGGGCTATGTCTGAAACGTAGCCTCTGAATTGATGAAAAGTGCAAAAAAACTTTAATTTTGGACAGCGTTTCTGCATAGCAGATTTCCTTAGACATTGTTCTTGGTGACAGTCTCTCCTGCAACACGTTGGCTTCAGCAGAGGGTGCATGATTGATCTGGAAAGGTGGGGGACTTGGCTGCCTCTCTTGGTTCCTCATCCCTCTCCCAAAAGGATATAAAAGTAGCTAAAGGAACAGTTGGCAGCGGAAAGTRCAACTTGGAGAACAGCATGACTCATGTTCTCCAGGAGGGGCCCGTGGACCGTCTGTATGTGTGCTTAAGCTTAGCTTGATTTTATTAATATGACAGCACGCTGGCTCGCTGCAAGAAGAAACCCCTTGTTTTGCCCCACTCTCCAGCGCTCTTGCTTAGGAGCAGCAGGAGCGCCTTCCAGATGGTCTCCAGCCTCCCTCGTGGGAGGAGAGGAGAGGGAGAGGGTCCCCCTGGCTCTCCCGGGACCAGCTTTGGGCTGCCGGGTGAGCCCGAATTCCTCGGATAAGAGCAGGGTACGGAGTGCGCCTGTGCCTGTGGAGCAGGGAGCAGGAGCAGAGTAGGAGGTTTGAGAGTCTCACCCGCCTTGCACGTGGAGCAAACACTCCTCTTGTCAATCCCGCTGGATTGGGATCCACGGAGATCCTCTGGAGATTGACCTGCAGCCAAGCCTGGTGCCGGTGCTCGCTTTGGCCCTGCRGGGGTGACGATGATGCCTGCCGTGGCCCTGCCCTGACGTGCCTAGAGGACAGGTCACCTGCCGAGGAAAGGCCTTGCCCGGCTCGGCACCGGAGGCGCCCCCATAGCGCTCCCCTCCTGCGCCTTGTGYGCCCTGGGCGTCCGCGCAGCGTCGCAGGCGGCTCGGGCAGGAAGGGTGCCCCTTGCCAGGCCCTTGGGGGCTGCTCTGTCCTGGAGATCCCGTTCAGTAACAGCAGCAGCTGTTACCCCTCTGGGGGCCGGGATTCCTTCCCCTTTTCTTTTCCCTCCTTTTTTTTCCCTTCTCTCCCTGCTCTGTGGCAGCCGACGCTCCCATCGCAGCAGCTCCCACCCTGTGGTTTCCTCTTCTCCAGCATCCGCATGCACGCTCGCTCCCGCGTGCTTGGGCTTGGCCTCCAGCRCCGGGTTTTCCCTCACGGATTACTCCCCAGTGTCTGGTGCAGGATGCTTGTCCCAGCATCTGTCAGGAGGCTTTTGAAACACCCTTTTTTTCCTTTTTTTTATTTGTTTSTTTTCCTTTTTTCCTTCCCCCTTAACCACCGCTTTCTTGTTTGCTGACATAGGGCTCCCCTGCTGCCCGCACTGCTGGGAAGCGGCGAGGATCCTGCCGGGAAGGGAGCGGGAGACATTCCCGCCTGCCTTCCTTGGCGCCTGTGCCCCACAGGCACCTGTTGTTGCCGATATTCCCCATCCACGAGCAGCTCCGGGGCTTTCTGCGAGAAACGCCTTTCCCCGGTGCTTTAGCATGAGCCTAGTTGTGTCTCGGGCTCCAAAGGTGGCAACTGGAGCTCTCCTTGGTGGGTTTTCTCCCCAGTAACATCTGGTGGTGGCTGCTCCTCGCGGCCTGTGCTCTTGGCTCTGCTGCTTTGGTTGTTGTCATATTGTTCCAGAGAATGGCACGTTAGCTGCTTGTCTGCTCTAAAGCTGAAGCAAAACTGAATTAGGGGCCAATTCTTTAGGCCCTCAACCTTGTCCTTCAAGCGCCTGCCCTTGTGGTATCCAGGAATGGTCATGGAAGGTAGTGCTGCTGTGAGGAGAAGCAGAAGGAAGAACAGTTGGGGTCCGTAGATCTACCAGTTGGCCATGGCAATGCCGTGTGTGTGTGTGTGTGTGTTCAGGGGATTTTCTCCTGCCTGCTTTTCATGCCAGACCAAGGATAGAGGGGGGGCAAGGGGCAAGGATAGAGGAGGGCAAGGATAGAGGGGAACGTGGAGGAAGGCAGTATTGCTTGGGGTTGGCCACGGGCTGCAAGGTGAGTTATGGGGTGAGGAGTGGCAGGGTGAGGAGCTGTGTGGAATCCCTGCGTGCCGGGTGCTGTGTGGGTGGGAGGCACCAGCGTGGGTGCCCCCCCGGCGGGATCCATCCCGAGTTACAACCACGAGGGCAGGAAAAGAGGCCGCCGTGGGTGCAGCGGCTCGTGTTTGCCCTTTAGCACCAGCACGCAGGTCTGGGTGGAAACTTGAGCCCGCAGCAGGTTGGTGTGTGCACGCCGAGCTGGCCCCGAGCTGCAGCCCTGCTCAGAGGCGGTTTCGTGGGCCTGCTGGGGCCCGTGAGGTGCCGCAGGGCGCGAGGGCGCTGCGTGGGGTGGGCGGCAGGCTCTGCAGCTTCGTCCTTGTCCCTTGGCTCCCAGTTGCCCCGTCTCTCCCCCCGCTTGCTTGTTCTCCCTGAGAACATCTGAGGAGGAGCAGAGTGCTGCAGTCGGGTGTGTTTGGCCCGGCTCTTAACTCCACAGGTCCAAAATAGGAAATCTGTATCCAGCTGTTAATAGCAAGTGCTAGAATAACACTGCCCGGCCCGCGGCCGGCCCCGGGAGCGGGGCCAGCTCCGAACGCGCCGAGGTGCCTGAGGCCTCTGCAGGGCTTTGCGAGTGGAAAGCCGCTCAGTGAGCTCGGAGTTTTGCTTTTTTCCCCCTCCTTTACTTTTTAGTAATGATTCCCATCCTGGCTGGTATCCCTTTTTCCCCCAGAGCGCCACGGCTCCGGCACTCCTTGGGAGGAGGGTTGGGTTTCGGGCAGGCATGCCCTGGCGGATTAAATTTGGATGCTGAAGCTGTTGCTGCCACTCCCCTTCTGCAGCCTCCTTCTGGATWTTGCTGCCCGGATTAAAGAGGCACCGTTTTTCTTCCCCCCTCTCTCTCCCTGTTCCTTTTTCCCTGTTAGCAAAAAGACTGAGAACGGTGGCAAGCCTGGCGGGCAGCCCTGCCCCAGACGTGCCCCAGAGAGAGGGGGACACAGAGGGCAGCAGCAGTGCCAGGCTCATCTTAGTGCCCTGCCTTGGGCCTCCTGAGCCGAGTTCTGCCCTGAGCTCAGGTGGGATCAGCTCCCAGGGAAGATGGCTCTTGGGCAGCACTGAATCCCTGCTCTCTAGTTGTGCACGTTGCAGTCTCCCATTTTGCAATCCCTCTCCGGTCAAACGCGATCCAATTTCTTTGCTTGGAAGTGAATCCAAGCTGCCTTTTACATGGCCCGGGCTGTTAAGAAATGGGCTGGAAAGCAGGGGGATGTTTCTAAGKCTGCCTCGCTTCCCACTAACGCGTTCCAGCCTCACGCTGGAGTCCGGCGGCCGCTGCAGACGTGTCCTCGAGGCCGGTGCGGCGCTGCCGCCGCTGGGTTCGACCGTGTTTGAGGCTTTGTAGCCTCAAAAGCGCAGGAAATCTGCTCAGCTTTCCCTAGGAGGATCCCTAGGTCCTGCAGCAAACGCTGGCAGAAAGGTTGCCTTCTGTCTTGGCGTAGCCCTGTGCCGTGATCCCTGTGGATACCAGCGACGGGTCCAGGCGCCCAGTCCCTCCCAGCGCCTGCTTGTGCTCTGCCCCTTCCAGCCTCCTTAGCCTGGGGTTCAGCAGGAGGCTGCGGACCGTGGCCGGGCACAGCGGGCTGGCGAGCGCGAGCCGTGGGTGGCGCTTGGCGCTGAGTGCACCCGTTTACCCCGGTGGGCAGGCTGGTTCTGAGCTGTCCCTTCAAGGGAACTTGGGGAAACACGAGTTGGCCGCTCAGTTTTTAAAGGAAGGTGCTCTGTGTCTAGGTGCCCAAGTAAATTAATATAGTGAGAGCACTGGGCAGTTGTGTTCTCCTCTTCAGGATGAGAATCTGAAGTGTCTGGTTACCCGGACTGGTTATTTTACACATCTCAATGGATCCTGAAATGACTGAGAACCAAGAAAGTTAGAGAAATAACATTTTAATTCAAAGGTTTGAAAAGGGAGTTTTAAAAAATGTTGAGATCTGTTGAGTCTAATTTTGCTCTAATCACTGTAGGTCAACTTTAATACTAAAGAGTTTTAAAATAGTATTTTAATGCAAAACAGGTTGTCAGTACTTCTCTCTGAGAGAGGCTGCACGGTAKGTTTAACGGTATTAAAATACCCTCCTATATTTTTATCATCCAATTCAGTTTCTCTCCGACCAGCAACTTGTGACGAGTCAGATGTGCAAACGAAACGGGAAGTGTCCTCCCACTGATGCCCCGGGCCTTAACTCAGATCAGCTCTCGGGCTTGGTGTGGTGGCTGTGTACGCCAAAGGCAGTGGTAAGCTTAGTGTGCAGGCTGTAGTTAGCTGCAGGTCAGTTGCCTTCGTTGCAGCCAGCTCCTCGGCTCCTCGGTGGACAACAGCCGTGGTAGYTGTCCTCCTTTGCTCATCCCCACTGTCCCTGCTGTTGTTGCTGGTGTGGAGGAGCTCTGCCTAGCGTGGCTTCTGCAGACCTTMCAACTTCCAGCAGTTTCAGCCAGTAGCTTCGAGAGCTATGCCAGCTGTTGAGGCAGTAGAGCGTCCCCAAAACGTCCTCTGTGTGCACCTGTAGTCTGCCAYGAGTAAAATTTGGGGTGCATCCAGATATCCGTAGCTAGGGGAGCAGGCGCTGGTCCTGCCCGTTGCAGCCACGGCCCCCTGCGCGCTCGGCGGGTGTTGGTGTCAGCGTCGCCCATGCTCCCTGTGGAGGATGCTGTAGACCCGGCTCTTCCCGCAGCTGCACACTGATCCCACCCTCCCATATTGGAGGCTCCTTCCTGCACATCCCAGCTAGGCAAGATGGAGAAAATCTGTGCGGCATCTCTGCCTGTGGAAGCTCCCGGCRTAGGGATGTGAGTACACGCGCTCCTGGGGAGAGTGGCTTGGGTCTTGGCCACAGCGCCCTGCTGTGCTGTTGTGCCTGAGGTGTCCTTCGCTTCCTGCTTCCTTGATTCCCGCAGGCGAGCGGCCTTTCATCTCCCCTCGCCTGCCACATCCCCCCAGGAGAGCTCTCCGTGCCTCCCAGTGTTGTTGCTGCATCTGGAAGTGCTTAGCAGCCGCAGCGCAGCAATGTTTTCCTTGGAAAAGGGAGCGCAGGGAAGCGGAGGCAGGGTTTCCCAGTCGTCCCCTTGCAGCATCCTTGCTCTTTCCTCCTCCTCCTCGTTTCCCCGGCGTGCCCAAGGAAGCGCTATCAGCTCCTGGCTGAGCTGAGGCACATGGATGTGTTCAAGTTCCCGCATCGCTGACCCCTGCAGGAGACCAGGCCTTTTCCCTGTCCCTTCCACGAGCTTGGATTGCGGCCCCTCTCTGCGTGGGGATGAGGAAGGGGCCGCCCGGCGGGCCCAGCAGCTCCCGCCGCGCTCTGCGGGGCTGTCCTCACGCTGCTCGCATTCCTCCTTTTATTTGCTTAAATAAAAGCCCTTGGTTTGGGGCTTTTTTTGTTGTTTTTCCACTTCTCCGTGAACTCGGCAGGGAGGGGACATGGGTTTTACAGCCCTGCAGGCGGCAGCTATGCGGCCGTAGTGCCAGAGGGAGTAACGACCCGGAGCGCCGCCTCTCTCTGCCCCTTCCCTGCTCCCGCTCCRTGTGTCCTGTCCCCTCCGGGCCTCGGAGTGGGAAGCATCCCTCCAGGGAAGCCCAGAGCCGAGCTGGCCTCCCCGGTGCGGCCCCGGTGGCTCGTGCTCCTCCTTATGGAAGGATGGGAATTGCTCCGGGAAGGGCCCCGCTCCCCGCCRAGGAGGGAGGCTTGTTTGCGCCTCCCGGCGGAGCTGGCCCGGCTCCCGGGAGCCTCCCAGGCTTTCYGCGGCTTTCCGAGCCGCTCGCCGCAGCCCTCTCCCCCGCTTGGCCGCACATTCCTGCTTCTCCCGCCGAACCGCTTCCATCCGCCAGGCTCGCGTCGGGAAATGCCAAGTGGGATGCGGGGTCGGCGGGGCTGGAAAGCAGCTCGGCCGGAGCRGGAGCTCCTACAGCTCCCCCCGTGCTCTCACCTCCTGCTCTGGCTTGCTGCTTTGCTTGGGCTTTAGCAGACCCTGTCTCCCTGCTTTTCCTTGTGTTTCCATAGGAGTCTGCCCGGCACTTTTCCTCCCCTCTTGGGCCGCGCTTGCGTTTTCGCTAAAGCATGAGAAAAGCAAAATCAATTTGGATGATTTTGGGGGGAAAAACTTGTCTGGGCAAACTSTGTGATCTGATTCCCTTCCTTCCTTTTCGTTTCCCGTCTTGTTTTTTTCAGTGCTAGTCACTGATACTTGGTGTTGGCTCTGGCGAGGAGTTGGCAAAGCATTAGCAGGGAGAGAAGTAGGAGGCTGGGACCTGATTGTCTGCCGGGGGTCTGGACAGGCTGTTTGGAGCGGGATTTCAGCAGATGTTTTTTGTTCTGTTTGTTTTTCTTTTTCTTTTAAAAAGAAAAAAGAACAAACACCAACAAAAAGCAAATACAGAGAGGCATCCGAGAGACTTCCATAGCCCAGCAGACGCCTGTTTCCTCTTAGTCACCTCCGTCAGCTGAGATTCTTGCCGGGATTTGCATCTCCGAGTTTTCAGGCGGAAACTTTTAGTTGTCCTGCTGATCTCTTAGGTCTTTGTTCAGGTTTGGAAGTTGCCTTCAGTGTTTATTTTGAAGAATCGGAGTAGCAAACCTTTTAGCTGCTCCACAGAAGCGAGCCGGTGGTTGGGGTGCCCGCAGCATCACGCAGCCGTGTCACCAGATCCGCTGCATCTACTTGTCACCCATCTCCCAGTCYGAACGTTGACTTCTCCGGCCATTGCAGCCCCCCTGCTCCCAGCTGAGCTTTCTGCCTGCTGCTGCTAGAAGAAGGGGACAGTTCACAACCTGCTGCACTCAGATGGTCGAAACTGCATTTCCTGCAGAGATCCCTTGAGATCAAAACTGTTCCACTGAGCCAGCCAGGCCTGTAAAAGATGCAAAAATCCCGCCCTGTTTTGGGCTGAAAACTTGCCGCCAGCAGCAATGCTGATAGAAGCCGGCGTGGGAAGAGAGCTGGTTCCTGAGCGCGGGCRTGTTTTGGTGGCGACGAGCAGACCTTTCCTCGGAGAGATCCCGGCGGATGTGCTGTTCTTCTCCAGGCGGCAGTTGCGGAGCCTGTGGAGTTCTCCCYGGAGGCTGTGGAGCCTGGCTGGTGCCCAGCAGACGGCCTGCTGGATGCTCCAACGCCTTCCCGTCGCCCCCGGGAGCCTCCTTGCCCCGTCCACGCTGCAGCCTGGGGACGCTGGCCCTGGCGGCGCCTGCTTTCCAGTTCAGCCAGGTCCCCCTAACTTGGACTGCTGGCCTCTCCTTTGCAAGCAGCACCCGCTGATTTTCTCCACCTTGTTTCCCCTCCTCACGCCCCCGGTGCAAGGCCCTGTTGTCCCCCTGCCTTGGTGGCCGGCCACTTGCTGCCCGGCAGCGCCCGAGCTGCCGCTGGATCCGTGGGCACCGTGGCGGCTCCCCGGCAGGCCCCGCGGCTGCAGCGAGGCCCTTGCACAACCTGGAAGTTCCTCCTGGGTCAGGCCGCTCCGTTGTGCTCCGGCTTCCCCTCCGTCCGGTTTCCTCCCTCGTGCCGGCGGCTAAATATAGCGGGAGGTTTTGGGGAAGCGCCGCCGCCGCCGCCTCGTGGCGTGGGGGGTCCCGCTTCCGCGGCCCCGTTTCGCCCCGTTCCTTCTCTTGCCTTCGTGCTGCGCGGCGGCGTCAGCCTGCCCGTGGCTCCTGTTCCCAAAGGGCAAGAGTTGAGGGGGTTAGTTAGACCACGGAATCACAGGATGGCTGAGCTTGGAAGGGRCCTCTAGAGATCATCTAGTGCAGCCCCCTGCTCCAGCAGGGACGCCCAGAGCACAGAATGGCGTCCAGGYGGGATTGGAAGATCTCCGGAGAAGGAGACTCCACAGCCTCCCTGGGCAGCCTGTGCCAGGGCTCTGTCACCCTCACACTGAAGAAGTTCTTCCCCAAGTTTGACCTGCCCACCTAGAGTTTTTGGACTAGCTGAAATCATCGTATCCTTTTATTTTGCATTGGCTTAACCTCGCTCTTGGAGAGGTCCATGAGGGTGGTCGGTGTGACGTTCTCTTTAGACTTCACTCTGAAGTTACCAGGCAATCAATCAAAAGTTACAAAATTAAGAGAAATCTTAAAAAAAAAAAAAAAAATCCACGTGTTACATATGTAAGAGCAGGTTTAATCTTGAGCTGCATTTGTGCTTSAGTTTTATTTGGAAGGGTTAACTGACAACTACAAAAAACATTTTGACTTGTAGCTAAATAAAAGCTTTACTTGAAGGGCAGAGCCTCTTAAGAAGATTCCCTGAATTGCTGTTGAGTTACCAGGTACTTAATATAAGCTTATTCGGATGCTGTTTTATTTTTTCATTGTAGTTTGAAAAGGATGAGTGCAGCCTTGCCTCCTTTTTCACCATTTTAAGTTGCTGTTGGGTGGCAGGCAGACCCCCCTTACAAAACAGGAGAACCCCAGTACTTAAGCACTTTAACTTACAGATATGCTACGTGATGCATTAAAAAAAGGAAGGCTCTATTTTCAGAAAAGGAAACAAACTTAACCGAGCCGCTGGCATTTGGCCATTAAGGTTGGTAAGGAACTGGAGCTAGCAGAGCTGAGCCTTGGGCTCAATTCTGCTATGGGGTTATGGGGTTTTGTGGCTTTGCCCCTTGTTTTTTTCCTGAGTAACCTTTCCTTCCTTTGGTTTTTCGCTGCCTTGCCCAAATGCCCAGTTTCCAAGCTTTGAACTAGTTATGAAGTTGACTGAACATTAATAAGTTGGGGGAAAAAAATCTTTTTTGTAGAAGTTATTAAAAAAACATGATTCTAGGTTGCATTTAATATGATGTTGAAGTAGTACTTTTCCCTTAGTCTTGTCCCTTGTCTGCCTTTCAAACGTGAGCAAGAAATATCAATATTTAATATAAATAAACCACTAGCTTTATTGTTAATTTGAATAAATACATTAACCGACTGCTTTTATCTCCTCTGCTAAAGCGTTTAAAATAGACTGCGATGGGAACTGGGTAGCACCGATGGGAACGGGGTAGCTCCCACACTCAGGACACGCTATAAAGCCTTTGTCTTCCTCGCCTTTGTCTTCCTCGCTACACCCTTTTCCTATTATTGATCCTGCTCCGGGATTTCCGTGGCTTGGGGAGGAGGACGGGCTGTGGGTGGTGGTTGCTTTAAGTGTCAGTAGGTTCCTTAAAAGCTTAACCCAGGTCTTTAATTCCTGGTTTCGTTCACATGGGGGTCCATGTGGTGCCCGCTGTGCAGCCCGCGTGGGTGCTGTGCCCGAGCAGCAGAATCCACCAAAAACTGGGTTCCTCTAAGGTGATGAGAGCTATTTCAGAGGGAGGGATGATTGCCCTGAAGTACAGCCACTGGGCTGAACCAACAGTGGATCATTTCCATCAGCAACGCTTATACGTTGTCCAAGAACTTCAGTGTCAGCAGGAGGAGAGGAGCAAGAAGTGGAGCGAGACCTGGTGGTTTTCTGGGCTGCTGGGAGCTCTTGCTGGGTCCACAGCCCCCTCTGCCTCCCTTAGGCCTCAGTTACTCACACCTGCAATGAGCTGCTGGGCCACGGGTGGTTCTGCAGTAACGCGGTTGCCTCTCGCTTCCCCTCGCAGGGATCTACATCCTCATCGCCGTGGGGGCCGTCATGATGTTCGTGGGCTTCCTGGGATGCTACGGCGCTATCCAGGAGTCTCAGTGCCTTCTGGGGACGGTAAGAGCCATGGGGCCGGCACACCCGCCGTGGGGTCACCCAGCCAAACYCAGCCAAGGTTCCTCGCCACGTTTTGGTCAGGATGTCAAGATAAAMCCTGGAAAATCGATTCCCCAAGGGCTGCAGGCACCACAGTGAGGGGCAGCCGCTTGGGATTCCCAGCATGGGACGAGCCCAGCGATTGCACCAACTGCAGCCACAGCAAAAGCCTTYGCCGGGGGGAGAGGGACCCCTTTGTTTAGAGCAGGTTCCCACGTGTGGTCGGGCTTGAAGCGAGTTTCCAGCCTCCTCTGGCTGCCCACGGGCCTCACGGGGCCTGCGTGGGAAGGGGGCTCTTGGTGTGGCCTTTGTGTGGCGTGCCCCGTGGGCACGCGTGTTCTGGTGCCCTGGCAGCRGGCCCATTTCTGTAGTTTATTGTGGGTTTTTTGTTTAATTTTCCTCTGCCCCTTCCCCTCACRGAACTGCCTGCAGAGCTGTCATGCTTGGAGGTTGCAAAAGCCTCTAAAAAGCTCTCCAAAAAATAAAAATAAGAAAGGAGGAGGAGGGTAAATTAAACCAAAAAAAATGGGACAGTGCTTGGCTTTTTTAAGCTGAAAATTAGTTTTGTGGKGGAGAGCAAGCCATGAGTGAAGACTGGAGTGGGGGAATGGAGCTTCCCTGCTGGCTCCCATGCTCCTCGTGAGCAGGTTGCTGCACCTCTGGGTGCTTCTGGTCCGTGTTTACTGGGGCTTCCTGCAAAGTGGGAAGCTCCCAGCCCTCAGAGCAGCCCACAAGCAAGCAGGGCAGAAGGAGGGAGTCGCTCATCCGTGGGTGCTTTTCCCCCTGGGATGGATCCAGGTGCCCCTCTGGGAGCACAGCCGTGTCCCTGCCCTGTAAAAGGGCATAAAATCCCTATAAAATCATGTGCCCCAGGCTGCAGTAAAGGAGGCCCCTCCGCTGGAGGGTGCCCTCTGCAAGAGAGGGCCCTAGTGCTTAGGGAATTCCCAAGATGTGCACCCCCCGCGCACAGGGACCTGCTCCCTTGGGACGAGGTGGGACCCAGTTCCTCAGAGATGTTCCCTGTCTAAACAGGAGGCAGGAGTTCCAAGTCCTTCCCTGCGGGATGTCAGTAGTCCCATTTCCATTTATTTTTTATGTGCTATCCCCCGTTCTTGCACACGAGAACATGTTCCGTCACGTTCCCACCTCTTTTTTTGTCTCTGCTTTCATGGCAACTCTGACCAACCTGGGGGGTTCCCACAAAGAAACCCCCGAGGGCAGCGTTGCCCCCGCGGGGACGTGGGGACGTGGAGCTCAGCCCTGTGCTCTGCTGCTTGCCTCTGATGCCTGAGCTTCAGAGCTTGCCCTTTGCAGCCGGAGTCCCCGCGCGTTCCCAGGCTCTGAGCAGAAAGCTGGAGGAAGGCTTCGGGGTGGCAGGGAGAACTTTTAGAGTCGCAGCAACAGGGTGGGGCTGTGGGAAAACRTGAGAATTAGTGTTTATGCAAGAAGCCGCAGGGCTGCGCCGGCCACAAATGATGCCCGGGCGCCCCGCTGCTCCTCAGCGTGTGGCGAGTGCTCCGAGCCCGGYGCTGCTCAAAAGCTCCCGGCCCCAGAGCGTCCGAGCTGGAGCAGGGGGTCGCTGTCTGCTCCTGCAGCCACACGAGCAGGGGCAGTTTGTCCCTTGGGGCAGGCTGTGCCCGTAGCTGCCCCTCCCCGGGGTGGAAAATACCCTGCAAAGGCCTTAAGGCTTAAACACAGCAGCGGGATTTGGATGTGGGAAGGCTGGAGGTGACTTTTGGGAAAATGTACTGGGATCTGCACGGGAGAAGATGGTTGGAAATCAGGCAACACTTGACTTTGATCTTCTCATCATTAGGAATGCTGCTCCRTTGTACCCACCTTATTGCTTCTTTTGCACGTAGCCAAAAATGTAAAACGTCCTTCTCCTGATTTGCCTTCACAGTTCTTTACTTGCCTGGTGATCCTGTTTGCCTGTGAGGTTGCAGCTGGAATTTGGGGTTTTGTCAACAAAGACCAGGTAAGGTGACTGTGAAATCCGAGTGTGTGGGACCGGGATGCTGGTTGCAACCGTAATSGATCTTAGAGGAAGGTGTAGTTAAGGTCTCGGACTGAGACATGGGATTCTGGACTAGCTGTGTGACCTGGGCAGGTCGCTTAGCTCCTCTCCAGAGCAGAGTGCCTTGCTGAGGGGTTATCCAGTGAATCGGAGACCAGATCCCCCATGAGGAGCAGCTCCAACGTTCCCGAAGCTGGGAAGCAGGCACTTGGGTGCCACGGTGGAGGACACCCCATTGGCAGCGTCGCCTACAAGTGGGCCCCACGGCAGTGGGTGAGGTGGGAGTCACACCTGCCCACGGGGATGCCCTTGGGGACCGGAGCCGTGTCCTGGTGAAGGCTGCTCCGTGAAGCTGGGGCAGTCGTGCTCTGTCCCCGCTTTTCCTGAGGTAGTTTAGATGCAGGGAGGGAGGCGAAAAGCAGGATTCATTTGTCTCTATTCCAGGCTCAAATGGTTTGAGCAGAGAGCATTGCCGTCCAAAACAAGACTTTGGAGCAAGAAGGGAGAGAGCGTGGGATAATTGATTGAAATTGCTGTCCTTTTTTTACAGCAGTTTCTTTCTCATTTGCTAATCTAGCAGGCGCTGCCAAGAGCAGAGGTTCTGGAAAGCACTTTCCCTTTTGTACTTAGTTATATTTATCTCATCTGCCTCTCTTGCATGCCCTCCTTTCCCCCGTCTCTCAAATTATTGGAAGCTGCTAGAGAAAGTCGCAAGTTCAACTGTTTGAACTTGATTTTTTTTTATTCCTTTTGCTCCATGGAGCAGAGGCTGCAGCCATGATCCCCCAGGACAGGCTGCAGTTCCTGAGGGCAGATGGCAAAGTTAGGACGTGGCCGAGGTTACTCACGAAGCCATCTACAGGGCAAGGGTGCTTAGATCCATCTAGGGCCCCAGCAGGAGTTTGACATCTGTCCGAAGCACCTGAGCTTCCTGACCTACCCTCYGTCCAAGACCAACTGCAAACGGAGGTGCCCATAGCTGCAAACTCACTTGCCCCTCCAAGTTCCTCTCGCTTCCCGACTGTGTCATTCCTCTGCAGGAAGCCACATGCCCTCCTGCTTCATTTCCAGATACACTGTAGGTCAGAACAAGCTGTTTCTGGGAGCAGCAACAAATGTGTGCAGTCTGAGGACTGTCTCGGCTCTGGTGGTGCCCCRTCCATGGCCTGGCTGGTTTTGCCTCTATAGAGAGCTCAAAGCATTTGAATAATGTTGGCTGAAACCTGCTAGYTGGGGAATGAGGTTCTTAACAGTTGCTCTTCATAACACTGTAAGAATTTAATCCTTACAGAAGGGGGTTTTCTACTCATCTGTGTAAATAATCAGGGTCCAAACCCATTAAAAACTGCTTCTCTGCCTATCATCCCTGCAAGGGAGCGATGTTAGAGAGAGCCTGCTGTGCTCGGGCACGTCTCCTTGTTGTCCTCTGGCTAAGAGGGACCTTTTCGCTGCCTTCCCCAGATAGCCAAGGACGTGAAGCAGTTCTACGACCAAGCGTTTCAGCAGGCGCTCATGGCAGACTCGGACTCCAACAACGGCAAGGCCGTGGTGAAGACCTTCCATGAGACGGTGAGATGTCGGGAGCCTTTCCGCGCGCTCCGCTCCGGCCAAGGTCACGCTGAGGAGCGGGATGCGGCGGGCTGAGAAATCCCTGCCCAGGCACAGGCTGACCTGCAAAATCGCTTTCTGCACGTCAGCTTGCAAGGGGGTGAAGAGCAACCTCCCCGCAGAGGAGGAGGGAGCAAGCTGGAGCTACGAGATCCAGCTCCCAGCTGAGGACAACTCTGGAAGTTTGGATGCTTAGGGATTGAACCGGCACAAAGAGTGTTGTCAGCAAGGGGCTTCTGCGGCCTGTTCTCCAAGCTTTATACAGAAAAAGTGGAGAAAATTGGAGGAATTATTTGTAGCAATGGGACACAAGAGTATAGGAGAAAAGAGAAGAAATGGAGTCAGGAAAATGAGCAGGAAAAGCGTGGTTTAAAGCAAATGTTGATATGTTTGAGTTAACCTGTGGAGTTTGCTGTTCTGAGATGAGAAGTAACTGAGTCGCATTGCCCTAAATTACTGTCCTTTGTGCTGTGCTAGGGAGCCTGGCCTGGGCTTAATTAAGTTGCTTTTCATGTGCCTCAGTACCCCCGATTAAGTAAAATTCAGAAAAAGCAGAAGAAAAAAGCTGCTTTGAGGAATTTATTCCAAGAGAACTTCCTTTGCTCAGCAGCAAGCAAATCCCTGGAGAGAGCAAGGCCCAACGTAGGAATTTGCAGTTAACTGCACAAGGCGGMCACACTGCATGCAAATCAAAAATGGAGTTTGGAGGGTTAATTCCTTCCTCCCTCCCCTTTTTATTTTCTCCTCGAGCTGACTCCTCATCATGGGTGCACAGAGCAGTGCGGGASAGTGTTGGCAAGTCCTTCTCATGCTGCTTTTCCTCTCACTGTGCAGCTGGACTGCTGCGGTCCTGATGCCGTAACRGGAGTCACCACTGCCTTATGGAAGGACGAGCTGTGCCCGAAGGACTCCYTGATGAAATCCTTGCAGGTAGGCAGCGCAGAGGAGCAGGCATCTGTGGAGGGTGAGGGAAGAACCGGCTTCCTGACGCTGCTTGTTCTCTGCTGCAGTTTTCCTCAAACTGTCACCAAAAAATTGACGAGCTGTTCTCTGGGAAGCTGTACCTGATTGGCATTGCTGCCATCGTGGTTGCCGTGATCATGGTGAGTGCCAGCATGTGGGGCTGGGAGAAACGGGGGCCGAGGGCACCGCGCAGCACTGCGGGATGCCCTCATCGGTAATGGGGAGGAGGAGGAAGGGGGATCCCGCGGACCGAAGGCTCACGGGCGGCCTTGTGTCTCCCTGCAGATCTTCGAAATGATCCTGAGCATGGTGCTGTGCTGCGGCATCAGGAACAGCTCCGTGTACTGAGGCCGGAGAGCCGGGGAGGGGATGGGATGGGAYGGGACGGGAGAGCAGGGCGGACGGCGCTAGAGGGGACCCCAAGTGCCACCAAGTGACCAGGAGACATTTCAACAAAAGAAAAGCATGTATATAAATACTTCAATATTACCATGCAGTACTTATCATTTTTTTGAAGTACTTTTTTTTTTTTTTTTAATAAATAAAACTTTCCCGTATCCTTGTGGCTGAGTTAGTTACACATCAGTTTTGTGTGATAGGGAAAGCTGCTGTAGCAGGAGTTTTCATCCTCCCTGCCCCTTCCCCTTCAGAGAAAATCAGAGCTGATATTTGTGGAGGATACAGAGCAGAAGGCTGCAGCCTGTTCGCAGAAATCTTTGCCTTGTTTTTTACTCTTTTTCAATACTGACTTTTGTTTATATATATGTATATGTACACACACGTATAATTGGACACTGAAGCAAGATTTAGCATTGTTTTGTTCAGTTGTTCTCATCTTTTTCCTCCCGTCACCCCAGCTCCCTGGTGCTTCAAGCTATAGGTAGGCCAGGCTGGCTGTAACTGCCTGCAGCCTGGTAGGAAGGAGAGGGAACAGCCCCGGGTGAGATGTCCCCGGCGGGGACAGCGGGGGCTCTTCCTAGCAAACCTCTTTGCATTGCTAGATTAACAGAACATTTAATTGTTCAGACTCAGAAGAGTTGGGGATGTTTTCAGCTTTAGGTTTTCTTCTGGGGCCTGTAGCTTTATAAATTGACTCATTTACATTGACTCATTAAAGGGTCAGTGACTGGGGTGAATTTAGTCTTTGAAAATTAAGTAATTTTTTTTTTTGTCTTTTTAACTTCCTTGAATGTTTCTTTATAGACATATTATGTTTTTGGGAGAGTCTAGTACTGTACTGAGTTTTCAGTGTTATGCTAATACTCATATACAAATGTTATTGGTAAAAAATAATTWAAAAAAAGTCTTTAACCTTAAAAAAAACCCCTTTATATTAGACAGGATGACTTTTGGGGATTCCCTGCCATATACATACACACTTAAAATGTAATCTTGGCATCATTTTCTTGTTCAGCCCAATTGCCCTTGCTTGTAGCATTTTGTCCCACACACTAGCATTTGCCAGGAAATTTTCATAATGTTGGAAAAAAAAATGTTTATTTTTAAGACCTTCCATCCTCACTGATCCTAAACGTAGGAAAACAGCTTATGAAAGCAAGGGAATTTGGGATTTTTTGACGGCACCAGTTGCAACACTTTGTGACCCTGCTGTGCTTTGGTTGCCAGTGGGATGTATGTGGCTTCTGCCCTGGCGAGGTAGCGGCACAATGTACATAGAGGGGCAGAGTGACCCAGGTCCTCTGTAATAAAGTTAGAGTGTCTCTAAAAAGATGATCTATATGTATAGTTCTATAGATATATATTTTTAAGCAGAGCCTTTTTCCTTTCTTTATGGGCCCTTGAGCTGGGACTGGTAGCCTCTTCCAGCTCCTGGCCACAGCGAAGCAGATGAGAGGAGTTAAAAACCTGTGACCACCTTCCTCACTTGGGGAATATTTCTGTTTCTTAAAGCGTTTTGCTCTCCCCCTCACCTCCAAGTTGGTACTCAGGACACCAGAGCGGGTAGGGAGGAAGACCCGTGTTCACTGTGAGTGGGCACCTTGTGTGTGGCATGCGGGTACCGCAGCCCTTGCCRAAACAGGAGAGGAAATTCCTGCACTGGGGCAACCTGATCCCCTCGGAAGCTTTTYTCCCCTTCTACTCATCCCTTTTCTGCTCTTGTCTTTTAGTATATAGGGCCTTTAAGAAGTATATAAGCATATATAAATATATATATATCAAGTTGTGCTGAGTAAGGGGAGGGAGTGCTTCAAGAGACCTTCAATTCGAGGGGGTTGGACAAGAAAGGATTCAGCCTTAGAAACAGCCTTAAAGCAACACTGCCCTGAATGTCCCCTGCGTGCACGTCGAGAAGGCCCCTCGGTTCCGCGGGAGGCCGCCTCTCCCCCTGCTCCCCAGCGCGGGTCCTTCAGGCCATCTACTCCCTTGTGTGGCTATATGTATACGCATCACCCAAGCATGTGTGTTTACATATACRTGCATCAGGATTGCTAGCATACAGGATGGATGTGTAACTTGCCGCCTCTTTTTGTTGACTGTTGATAAATGTGTATAAATATGCCATTAAGCGTTTCAGTTCTGTTCTTCTTTCCTGACGCTRTATTTTCGATATTGTTCAGTATTCAGTTGATGCTGTGTAAGTAGCTGAGGCTCTGTTTGAAGAGGGATGGGGTCTTTCCCTGCAGATAATTCACTGAGGGGCAGGCACGTCCTTGGGCATTGCAGCTTTGGGAGCCTGGGCTGTCCTGTGCAGGAGCAAGGGAGAGAAGGTGCTTCTTGGAGAGGGCCTGGGGAGAAGCCACCGGGCAGGTCAGGTTCCTTGTCTCTCCTCAGTGCTGTCCCGCACACCAGCCTGGGCCCCATCCTGCCCTCCTTCCCCAGGGACACAGTTCCCGGGGCAGGAGAYCCCCGCGCACACGGCTGCAATCCCGAGGGGCTTGGGGAGAGCGGGCTGGCCAGGTCTGAGTTCAAAGACCGCAGCGCGAGGTCAAACAGAGCCACTGCCAGCTTAACTGAATGCTCGGGCTTCTTCCCGCCTGCGGAGCATGCCACAGCACAGCCTGTTAACTTCCTTCTGCCTTCTTTTTTTTTTTTTTTTTTTTTTTTTTTTTTTTTTTTTTTTTTTTTTTTTTTTTTTTAAGAAAGAAACAAGACAAGAAGTCCATTTAATAAACGTTTCTCATAGTGTGCACAGTGTGATGAGCCGCCACCATCCTAGAGCCGGTGAACACCAAGGCTGGGGCGCTTCGTGAGGCGGGCGGGAGGCTGGGGGCGGCCGCTGAGGCGCTGAGGGGAGACACATGAGGGGAGAACCCTTGTGGGAAGGGAGGTGCAGGAGGAGAGCTCCCTGTGTGGGAAGGGAGGTGCAGGAGGAGAGCTCCCTGTGTGGGAAGGGAGGCTTGGCTGCGGGTGCCGACACGCTGCGGAATCCGGCAGGGGTGCTGAAATGGTGGCGTGGAGGAAGGGGAGAGGTTGTGGTGGCCATGCTGCGTGTGCCCGAGGGAGCGCTGCCCAACGGCCCCCAATGGCCTCTGGTGCCGCCGCCGCCTTTCTCAGTCCCATCTGTGGTAGGGGCCGTGGTGTCCGGAGGCAGCTGCAGGGCCAGGGAGGGTGCGTGGGGTGAGGGAAGGCACATGGGATGAGGGAGAGGTGTGTGGGGATAGGGAGGGAGCATGAGGCGAGGGAGGGCATGTGGGGTGAGGGAGAGGTGTGTGGGGTGAGGGAGAGGTGTGTGGGGCAAGGGAGGGTGTGTGGGGCGAGGGAGGGTGTGTGGGGTGAGGGAGAGGCGCGTCCAGCTCCCCAGGGGCCACCCGCGGCAGAGCCCCTGCACCTGAACACTAATGGCGTTGGCCATCAGGACTGCTGGAAATAAAGTGGTTTGAAACAACAAAAAGAAACAAAGCCAAGCCCCTCATTAGCGGATTTTTAATGATGTGCTGTCAGCACGTGCTTCTTCCCGACGCGGACGGCTTTCCGCCTCGTTTTCTAGAAGAATGGCACTGCTGTTTCCTGGACGCCTGCACAACGTGAGCTTTAGGCGCGCGGTCTTTGGGTGACCCTCGGGGGTGTTCCYGGGCATAGGACGCCCCTTGCCTCCTGCCTCGAGACACCTGGGTCTCGGTGCCGTGTTGTTGGCCCAGACGGAGATAATGGTTGTTCCGGCCTCCTCGGAGCACGGTCCTTGCGGGCGGAGCACTCACCACACCAGGCTCCTCCGTGGAGCCGCCGAGGGAAGACGCCGGCTGTCCCTGGAAAACGGGCAGCCCTGGCGCGCAGGAGCACGTGAGGCCACATGGAYAGAGCCTTGGGAAGGGCTCGGTGGAAAACCTGCGGCCCGCTGGGTCCCATATTGCACCAACAGCCCCTTGTGCTTTTCCTTTCTTTTTTATTTAAACGCTTGTCCTTGGAGGCCAACAGAGCTTCGTAAGGGAGGAGCGGTCACTGAAGACTTTAGCGCAGACTTCTGACTCCTACAAATACTTTTTGTGCCTTTTTTTGCGTCAAAGAGCATTTTTTACAGAAAATACAAGTATGATTTTTTCCCCTAAACTACAGCAAATTACGTTTTTTCCAGTGGAATTTTCTTACCCGCCCCCCCCCTTTTTTTTTAAACCGTCTGAACCGTTTCTTATTTCAAGCAGAAGTCTGGGGGTTATTTTTGCCCTATTTGATAAGTTGACTGCAGTCTGCTTTACAAGTAGCAGGCCAATTGTTTCCTACCAAGGCAGCTGGGACCAAGGGGGAAGGTACAGATGGCTCTGCCCCTTCCTTTGGAGGTTGTGCAAGCCCTAATCGGCTCCCGTGACATTCCCACTGAGGGAAAACTGCGCCAGCCCTCCCAACGGGCAGCCAAAATGCCAAAGCCGTGAGGAGGAAGAGCGRGAACTTCGAAAGTGGGAAGAAACAAAGGAAAACACCCAAATCCTTGGCTTGCCTTCAGTGCTGAACAAAGAGAGCCCCGGGAAGGGAMCTGCACCGTTTAGCAGTGCGTTAATCCAGCACATTTTTCCCACTGGCTTTACATGGCTCCAAGGCCAGGGGYTGCAGGTAGCATTTCTAATTAGAGGCTAATTCCCCTTTTTGTTGTTTTAATCAAGTGTTTCTGGGCCCCGTGTTCTGCCTCATGTTAGAGCACGGCTTGTGTATCGTGTTGTGCTGGGGGAGTCCCTCCAGCAACGTGCAGGGGTGTTAAACGCAWAGCCCTGCGTTTGGTGCAAAGTCAGCTCGGTTAACGGAGCAGCTACAGGGCATCTTCTAACAGGAGGCTTGGGAAGTTTTAGAGGTTTGTGGATWTTTTTTTAATAAAAACTATCTTCAAAGCACTCAACTGGTTCAAACACCCTCCTTCTGTCCTTCTCAGMTGCTGTTAATATTAAACATACTGGGGCCAACGCGAGGAAAGGAAAAAAAGAGGCAAGAAATAGACGTCTTTTTTAGCAAAAATATCCTGTAGCTAAATCAAAATGGAAAGAGATCCCCAAGTGTCCTGCTCGATCTTTAATTCCCAAGCTGGGCCACCTTCGTTCAAYGCTGGCAGGAGGAAAGCGTTTCTCCATCTGTCCATTTCAGGTGCTGACTCATTATTTTTATTTCAGCTGTCGCCAAGCAATAGCTAGAAGAAAAAAAACCCCGTCGGGACAGCGCATCCCCCGGCAAACGCCGCTGTCCCCGGTCACCGGGACAGGCAACGTGTTCTAAACACGGTGCTCATCCCACCCCTTACTCATCCCACCCGTTACTGCCGCGAGCAACGCTCCAGAAGGCAAAAACGTGTCTACACACCCATATATATACACATATATTTGAAATATTGAAATGTATATTTGAAAATTGACAATGAAAATTGCTTTGGTTGATTTTACAGCCTTCTCTAAGGCAGAAGCCTTCAGAGAAGCTGGGGGGAACAAGGTTTGCGGCGCTGTGGAGAGCAGGGTGGWGACACCCAACGCAGCTCAGACCCTTCGGGGCCATAATTTAATAACATGTAACAGGAGGCCCCAGGAGGCGCTCATTGTCCCAAAGAACAGAGGAGGATTGAAAAAAAAAAAAATCCTGGAAATTCTGCATTATATGCAGCTCTATTGTGCTTATTCCTTTTTTTCCCCTGAATGTACTGTAAATGAGCTAAATATTAAAGCCACTTGAGAAGTTTATTTCCACTGAAGATTTAAGCATTTCACTGGACGAAGGAGGGGGAAAAATGAAGCATCTCTGGCCAAAATCAATAAAGAAACTTTCAGGAAGAATTCCATGTTTCCATGCACACATTATGTTCTTCTYGGACAGAAAATGGGAAGTCTTTTAAGTTTTTACTTTTTTTTTTTCCTCTGGACTGCTTTTATGCCCCTAGTGACTTGGGGTTTTCTGGTTAAAAAATAAACATTTTTTTTTCTTTTTAAGGCAAGCACTTCCTCTGACATTTTCACTGCAGCCAAACCAAACGCCCACAATTCTGATGAGAAAAAGGGCCGTGCTGGAGGCGCCAGGGCCAGGCGGTGAGGGGGCCCCTCGGGACGCCCCCAGAAGCCGGCTCGGCGCCCGCCGGGCAGCCGAGGGCACCGKGACCCCACGACGACGAGGCCTCGTGTGTCCGAGCCCCACGACATGGCCCCACAACTCTCCAAACCGCCTCCCTCCCGCGGCCTCCCCCGCCACAAAATGGCGGAGGGCAGCGCGCCGCCGCGCGCAGTGCACGCTGGGAGCCGTAGTCTCTCAAAATGTCCCCCAGAGCGGGGACAGCCCGGCGAACTACAGTTCCCAGGATGCCCCGCGCGGCACCGCCTCCCGCTCCAGCCCTTTCCGCGCGCCGCGTTGCCTGCTGGGACTCGCAGCCCTCCGCGCCTGCCGCTTCCCGGCGTGCGCCGCGCGGCCGGAGGCGGGAGGACGGCGGCGGCCGTTGCTGTGAGGAGCCGTTGGGAGAGGCCGTTGGGAGAGGCCGTTGCGGGGCCGCGATGGGGCCTGTGCCCCGCCGCGGGCGGCAGGCGGGGCGGCCTGAGCGCGCTTTTCCCGCGCCGAGCGAGCTGTGAGTGTGCTGCGCGCCGGGCACCCGCCCCGGGAGCGGGGAGCGGGCCGGGGGTCCCGGCCCCGCGGCGCGGCCCTGCGCCCGCCCTGGCCTCTTTCCTTTTTGTTCCCCCCTCCCCCCCCCCGTGGGATTAACGCTTGTAATGCATAAGTGTTGTTATTTCATGGCCCTGATTAGTGTAGTTCCCTTCCTGATTCTATAGTGCACGTGGCTGGGGATCCAGAGCAAACATAGTGGCGCCGTGTTTGGGAGCGTGTTGTCCCGTTGCCAAAAAATAAAAAAAAATCCAGAAATATCCACAGCTTTTTACACTGCCATGCACTCGTGCCAGACTGGGGAATARGTTCTGCACGTTTGGATGATTCAGAGAGAAGGCATTATTTTTAAAGCTCCTTCTAAAAGTGCCCTTCCGGTGTGGTAATGGAAATGTTTGTTTTCTAGGGTAGAAGTGCCTGTAGCTCTGGTGGCTTTAGCTGACCCTCAGCAGGGGAAGCTGACTCAGTCTCAGGAGAAAGTGAGTGAGTAATAGACTTTCCGGGAYTGTTCTACTGAATTGCTCGAAAAGACCCTGTAATTATGGACTTGAGGCTATTCTAATCCTAGAACTGATAGTAAACGAGGTTCCTTCTAGTGGGTGACAGAGCTAAGCTGCTGTTGCAGCCTGCAGAAGTGCTCAGGCTTCAGCGTCACAGCTGCAGCGCTGGCTGCAGGAGACCCTCGGCTGCAGGCTGGCCTTGCTTCCTCTGCATCCACACGAGCACAGTGTCTGTGACACCCTTTCCTAATCCAGCTGTGACTCCCTTTCCTAATCCAGCCTGACTGGCTCCTTGAGCGAGCTYGTCCCAGAAACCTGGTGATGATGTGACAGCTTCAAGCAGGGAAGGACTGAAGCCTGTACTATAAAGCAGTAAAGAAAATCAAACTATAGCCTTGATGTTTTATAGGCTTCTCTGTCACAGACCCATAGCGTGCTTTGTATACACCGATTACTGGCGYGAGACATAGTGCTAAAGCTATAAAGGAATATAGTGGCTGAAGAAAGCAAGGCATTAAGGTGTAATTCTGTTGATTAGTGCATTATGGTAAACATAGTGTGGTGTAATTGGGAGAAGTCCTTGCTGGAAGAAGYGTGTACGACAGTTACATGGATTTGCTCAAAAACGTGATGCATGCAACTTATTTGGTCCTGCTTTAACCATTATTTACAGGACATAGAGTAACAGTCGTACGTATGATACTTGTATCATAGCTGTTTTTAACTCCTCTGCATTCTAGGCATTAAACTCGCTGGGCTTTTGGAAAACCCTGTTTGCTGCTGCTCCTGGGCCTCCATCAAAGACATCAGTGGAGTGAGGGCCTGAAGATGGGAGATCAAGAGGCAGGTGACCCCTTTGTGGGTATAGTGGCGAATGACTACGAAGGAGTCCTGCCCTCGGACACGGTGTCCCTCAGCGATTCTGATTCCGATGACGTTGGGCTGGCGGATGAAGCCGAAGTTGATACAGTATCTCCTGAGGAGCYATGTGTAGATGATGGGGACTACAGGTCAGGAGAGACCTCTGACTCTTCAAGCAGCAGCCGTCAGTCTCCCACCCAGCCATTCCACCTGCGAGGCATGAGCTCTACCTTCTCTCTCCGTAGCCAGAGCATTTTTGATTGCCTGGAAGAGGCAGCCAAGCTGTCCGTGCCCTCAATGCCTGAAGATAATGTGGTTGATGGCAGATTTAAACGGCCCTTGCCGCCAACTACCGCTTCAAGTAACAGGCTTCCAGAAAGCCCTGCAAAGCAAAGCAAGCCAGTGCAGGCTCCCAAATCCTCCGCTCCAGTCCCTGACTACGTGGCACACCCAGAGCGCTGGACCAAATACAGCCTGGACGGYGTTTCAGAGTCTAGTGACAAGACTAACAGGGCCGTAGCCATGGAATTTCTAGAGGGTTTGAGGAAGAGAGGAGAGGAGCAAAGCTCAGCTGCCCACGACAGCTACACCCCATACTTCAACCAAGACCCCTCCAGCTGTGGTGCTGGAAGGATTGTCTTCACCAAACCCTCTAAAAGGGGCGTTGATGSACTGGAAAAGAAAACGTCGGCAGGAGAGGATGATAAGAAGCACACAAAAACAGATCTGAGAGGAAAGTCTCCCAAGAAGACTGATAACTTGAGGGAGGAGGATAAGGTGGAGTTGGAGCATTTAGATGGTGGAAATAGGAAGGCAGCAGAGGAGGAGGGGTGCCTGACGATGGGGGGCCTGAATCAAGAAGGGAAACTTAGCGCGAGGTTTAGTGATGCAGGTGAAGAGCCGTTGGTGGAAACGGTTGGATTCCACTGCAGTAAGAAGAGGAACAGGAAAAACTTCCGGCCTAAAGCAGACCATGAAGAGGAAGAGTCCTAAGGGTGGAGCAAAACTAGAGACATACAAAGACTTGCACTGTTTGGGGGGATCACCTTTGGATATATTTGTTTTATCTTAACCCTTTTTTTTTGTCTGTAAACCGGGTGTGTTTTTTTTCTAATCTAACAGTTTGCATCATAGCCTCCAATTCCATTTACACTGTTAAATTAAGCTACCCCAATTTCATTCCACACGTTTTGTTCTTGACTGTGGGCACAAGTTACCTGATAGTGTGCTGTGTTTACTTGAACAGCTTGCTGGAGCTGTGGAAGCCCTGGGCTCCAAAGAAAAAGATGTTGGCTTTAAAGGCTGTGAGGATAATGAAGGGAAGTCACCCTGCCCAGCCACAGACTGGAGCTGTGCCCTAGTTCCGCAGACTTCTGGAACAAATGTGAGGAGCTCATTATATGTTTTATGTAATAAGTTACATAATGCRTATTTATGTATAAGTTTCTCTACATTGAGTGGGTGAGAATTAGTAACAACCTTGGGATTGGTCGAGCAACAGCTTTTCGTCTCGGTGGTATGGTGTGGGGGGATGATTTTTGGCCTGTGTATTGACTTATACATTTGTTCCAGGTGGCACTGCTTCCCCATTGATTCCTTGTGGGCATTTGAATGGAATGAGAACTTATACAAGAACTGGATACTTTTGTTCTCTGGGTATCAATAAACTTTCAGTTGTAGCTTGATTTCTGCATCTCTTTGAACCATATTGATACACATGCAGCTATAGGAAGTTTTAACAAATAGTTAGCTTTATTTGAAAATTCTTTTGAAAGTCCTTAGAATGTTACTCGTCACTTATTCTGATATTTCCCCCCTCAACCTCTTTTAGATTCTTAAAATTTTTAACATTGAGATGATTTTATAGGTTACAAAGCAAATAGCTTCACTGAATCACCTGCATAATGAATATCAAATGTAGTAGCTTTTCCCATATAATGTTACAATAAATGGTTGAAGATTTTTTTAATTTTCATTTATAAATGAGGCTTTAAGATTAAACTATTTGCAAGGTTACACTATTTGGAACTCCTTATTATTTCAGGATTCTGTTGGGACTGACAACCAGACCCAGTGTTAATACTTGTAATATCGTAATGAAAAACTGCTGCTTTGGAATTTGATTTCTCTTCTAGGCTGCACTGATCAAATTCCTGAGGATATTTGGGGAAGTTACTTTCTCTGTGGGGATGTCAGCATCTGATCAGAAACTGACTTGCAGGCAGGATCATCTGGAGTTCTGGCTGAACAGGTGCATCATCTATCAGCAGCAAATAATGTAACGTGAGCCTGAGTACTCTGTCTTGTGAAATTTACTTTTTAATTTTAAAAATAGTATATGTGATCGTAAGGCTCTGTTTCCATGCACACTAATTAATAAGTCATTCCTAAATACCTCAGCTGTACCAGCTTATGTGCATGGGACAGAGCAAAAATCCCAAACAAATCATTTGATTTCCAGTGGATTTTAAGTGTGTTGACCACAGTAAATAAATAGATAAATAAGTCAGCTGTTTTGGAAGGGAGGCAGCGGTGAACTGTGTTTGCTGCTTTTAAGATGTATATTACGTCCTAAATGTAGCTGACCACCAATCTACTGGTTCTGTAAGCTAAGGTGAAGAACATGGTAGCAAAATTTTGTTGTTGTTAATGGGACCACAGAGGTCTGTAGCACAGACTCCAAACAAATACTTATTTTATGACGACACCATAARAACATTAATTTCTATTAAAGGGAGATTTACATTTGAAAGGCAGTGTGACTATACCTGTTTTTCCCCCCATCTCTGTACTGAGATGCCTGGTAATGGAGAGAGGAAGGTTTAGTGTAGTCGAGCRTAGCACTGTATAGGAGCAGTGGTACAGTATGCACGAGCAAAAGAGTTCAACTGAAGGTAAGCTAAGAAAGACCAGAATCTAGGTTTCCCCTTCCAGAACTATTTAGGCTAGTCCAAAGAAACTTCACTGTAAAGGACAGTAATTCATTTTATTTATGCATTTTCTCAAAATTTCAAATTTCGGCCAGCTAACTTGTGTATCCTAATAAGAACATGCTATTACAGAAATAGAGCAAATGATAAACAACTCAAAAAATCGTCATTTCCAAGAAAAGTTTTGCTGGACATTCTTCTTTGAAAAGTAGTCTCCATTTAAGTGATTTTGCCAAGTCTTTGACAGAGAAAAGCAGAATAAAGTCAGAAAGAGGAGCGAGATGCAGTTGTGCTGTCGCCTGCATCGGAGTACGTACGTAGCCAGGTCTGCTTTAACAGGAGCCATCTGGGAGCAGATAGGATCTGGCCTGCAACCAGAAAAGCCAGGCCTGCAGGAGGGAGGGCCTGGCCGTGGCAGGCTCAYGTGCTCGTGGAAAGGGAGAGCAAGRCCTCAGAGGCCTGAGGACCTGCCCCGAGAGTCCCGTTTGGGGGATGTATGAGGAGCCCTCATGAAGAAAACAGCCATGAGAGGAGCACAACACAGAAGCGAGAACAGGAAGAAAAGACTGTAGTGCGGTTATTTGAGGACTGTGAGAGCTCTAGGAACTGTGTGAATGATCATAGTTCAGAAGCCCAGGCCCTTTCTGTGGAAATTATTTCCTGAATTCATTTTTCAAGAACACAGAAAGGACCAACCAGTAGAGGAACAGGAGAGAAGGCAAAAAGAAAGTGGATTATGAAGACTAGGAAGTCCTCAGTAGTGCCAGACAGTTCTTGACATTAAGGTGAAGACAGATCTCCCTTGAGGATTTTGAGAGTTGAGTCTGATTTCCAYGAGACTAGGATTTTAGTAAGACAGAATTTCAGTAGGACAAAAAACTTAATCTGGGAAAAAAAGAGCATTTAATTATCAATGTACGTGATGTCCATCCCAGRCTGATCTGCACGCTCTTCTCTCTCACCTCTTTCTGGCAGAGGCACTTCAGTACTGGCTTTCACCAAACCTAACAGGATGGTAAAAGCCATGTGTTTGTTAAAAGTGCTAGGACAAGGGGCACAAAATACTCACTACCGGGGTAGCTTTAAAGGGTAGAATTAATCCACAACAAGAAGTTGGTAACTACTCATTCACATTTTTGTCAGTGAAGTCAATACAACAGGTTTCTTCTCTATTTTGCTGCTATTCAAATTTCTGACTATCATGCAATTCCTGTATTAAAATATCTGGACAGCATATGCTGCAGGAAGGCTCTTCTTACTGTAAYAGTTATAATAGAGCAATTTAGATATGTACAGAAGAGTGTTTACTCAAGCTTTGAACATAATGAAGTAGGGGAGTCAAATTTGGGGTTAATGCCATCTTCTCAGCCTCTGCACATTGTGCTGTAGGACAGAGATGCAGTTAGCMTCAACCACCCGATTGTGTTTATCAGTGATCTTCACTTTTCCCTATACGCACTGGCCACCTCCTTATGTTATTTACAGAATAGAATAATCTGCTCAGCCCGCTGAGTTAGGATGAATAAACTGTCTTTCCGGCTTGGCTATGATTGAAGTATAAAGTTTACATATTCCCAATATTGAGTCAGATGCCCTGCAGTGACTGAGCAGTCATCTTTTTGTCTCTAGTGTCTAAAACCCAGCTAACGGAGTTTGGGGACCTGGGAGAAGATTCTTAGCTAATGTAAATAGTTGCAGCTCCACAGGTTTATAAGCTGTGCTGATTAAGTGAAAATATGAGGGTTATTCCTTTTTTTTTTTTTAAATTATTGCTATCTGTATTGAATAAAAGTTCTGATAGTAGTTGGTCAATGACTCGAGAACTCCTCAAGAAAACCTCAAGGAAGCCAGTGACACACAGATTCTTGCTTATATGCTTAAAGTTATGTGAGATCATTCTAACCCATAGTAACAGACCTTTCCATAAAGTCTGAAATATATTTTGCAAAAGTCTTATTTTGTTTTTCCAGCTCTGAAGTATGAATATTTCTTATTAATATTCCCATTAGTTCTAGGCATGCCTCTCCATACCCTCTTACATGGTCCATTTTCAATCTTTTTTTTCCTGTTTTTTTTTCTTAACTAATTTTTTAAGCTTTTCAGTGATTATTTTCAATACCTACATACACCGTCTGGAGCTGGTTGGTTGCACAAGAGGTTATTTTGCATTAAAACATCTGCCATTGAGGAGATAACAGTTGTACAGTAGCGAATCTACAAAATAAACAGTTGTTTCTACATCAGTTCATTTTTATGAATTATCCATCCAAAATTATTCCTTCTTAAGTTTGCAAAAAAGTTAATGTAGGTAGTAGCATGATACAGCATCAGAATTTACACGTACGGTATTTTCTTTTAAGAAATACTTGCATAATCTGTATTAAATATATTTCCTTTTTTTGCAAGTCTGCTGCATTATCTCTAACGGGCACAAACTTCAAACTTGTGTTCCTGTTGAACTTGTATTTGGTGTCAATACTGTTCATTGAATAACTTGGCTTTTTTTCAGGAAGCCATAAAATGCATTTAGAAGGGAAGGGGAAGCTGCAATGGGAGCATTAAGATAAGGCAAGGTCAGAATTATACTGGAGAAGTTTAGATACGAAGAATACAATAACAGTTGTACAAAGCATATGGCAAGGCTGACTGTTTTCATGCTGTTTAACAAATTGCTGTTTATATTTCATGGGTTTGTCATCAAAAGCTCAAGATAGGATTTCCTTCTATTATTTACGTTGCGCATTTGTATGGTAGACATTTCCCTTTGAAATCTTGATATCTGATATCCAAGAAAATGTGAATTTTGGTACCCAAGAAAACCAGAAAATTTAAGAAAGTCCCAGTCATGTCACATTGGACAGACTATGGGTATTTTTGAAATCATCATTTTTGAGAAATAAAAGGTTAGGTGAAGGCAAAAATGAAGGAAAGATCAAGCATTCAGCTCCAGAAAGGGCTGTTCTATAAGAAACGGACACTATTCAAGCAGAGTAGCAAAGGGATCAAGAAATACTCTCTTACCCTTTCTCCTTTCTTATGGGAGCTCAGGAAAGTTTCTTTTTATCATTATTGCCAAGATAAAGCAATAAGGAAACTGGGGCCACAGTACAGACCTGGTTTTCCTTCCCTTTATCCTTAAAGGACTCAATAATGTCAGCCAAACCACCTTCTAATATCCTCATCACTGTTTAAAAATAGTCTGGGCTGCAGAGTGAAAGCTCAAGAGGATATAAATGCTTACAAAACTGTTACTTACCTGGGATTCTATAACTTTAAAGCGCTTTTCTTGTTCTTTCAGTCCACTGAAGTACTTAGCCAAGCTCTCCACCCTGTGGAAACAGARCAGACCCAGTGGGCAAAAGGGAAAAACCTTTAAAAGAACCCCTGGAACATGGTAAATCCTCAGTTTACTGCAATTGTGCCCCACAGCTGCAGGTTGGCACTGCTGAGGCATCATGGAAACAAGAACCAATGGTACCTCCCAATCACTGCATCCCTCCCTACCCAAGCACTTCCTGCATCCTTCACCTCTTCTCCCACCAATTCCTTTTTCCTAGCACCTGATTCCCCACAGGGTCCTCAAAACCTCGCTGCCTTTTCCTCACCACAGCTGTTTCAAATTTCCCTCTAACTGCTTATAATCCCTTCTGACCTACATAAAAAGGTTGCTGTTGAGTATCTCTGGTTCTTCTTTAGGGTTGTTTTAATTCAAAGTTGAAAGAATTACCTGCTGATGTGTGGGGTTTTTTTTTAGTTATTGTTTTTATTTTAAGATTGCAAATACACAGACAGCTCTGCTGCCATCCAAGAACTAAGGTAAAAAGCCACAGGTTGAGTGGTGTTCATCTGACTCTTCTAGTTCTTTACTGGCTCTGCTCTATCTGAGGTACTGGGAAGCTAGACCYGTTCTTATCTACTTTCTTTCTCTAAGCAGTAGCTTCATCTTCAATTTATTATCTATAAAACTGCAGAAAATGTCATTGTGCCTTTTCCTTGGATGTAATTATATATATACTTATTGCTTAATCTCATAGCTATGGAGCTCTCACTTATTCTCTGTGTCAAAATACTGAAGTTTGTCCATAGCTTCATTATGGGAATRAGATTAGCACCAATACAATAACTGGAAATTACTATGAAGTTTCCACTTCATAGTGAAAACTCRATCAATTTATGCCAAGACCACCAATTTAGCAGGAATTTCTTGAGAGAAGTTGTCATCTTGTGCCATTAAGTTGTAAATTAAGTGCATCTTCTGCATCTGGGAGGTGGTGATGCTATCCTCTCATGTTTTTTTGTGGAATATGCATTTTCTAACTGCATTCTACTTAGATTTTTCATATAAGCTTTATAAGCACCTGAATGCTTGTCATTCAAAGCTGAAACCTGCAAGGTTGAAATGTTGAAACTTGACGTACTTATTACATGTGACCTTCAGCCTTTCATCGTTGCTCTCTTTCCTCTCTTGGTCCAAGTTCACAAGATAGTTTTCCTTTTGCACCAGTTCCCATGTTATGATTTTTTGATCTAGGCTGTCTGGAAAATCTCTTTCTGTAAGAAAAGAATGAAATTAAGAGTCATGTATTTTTTTTTTTTCCTTTTCTCTTGTGCTGGTTTGAATGCTATGAGGCTGCTATGCTACAGAAAAAGCAAACAGCATTGCTTTGCCATTGCAGGAGAGGCAGGTATGAAAATTTAGTGTAAAACAAGTATTTGCTGCATTTTTTCTCCTGTCATGGGATTTAAGAGACCTTTTTGCAGTTGGATGCAAGTCCRGAGTTTTCTAAAGAACTGCCATGATCTATTTCGGAGATTCAGTTTAAGCTTATTCAGAAACTTAGTGAATTTCTTGCATATTGTAGAACCAAAGTATCTTTCTTTATTAGATCAGTTACAAACAGGAAGTTAAAACTGTGAATAAATCCCTTCCTCTTAAAGAATTGTCTTAAAACAGGTTGCTTGGCTAAAACCAGAGCCCAATTTCACAGAGATATTTTCGACATCCCTAAAGCTCAGTACAAGGACATGCTTGCTGAGTGTTCCCAAATCCACTGAATATAGGATCTCATCAGCCAGATTGTTGCTGTCTGGAAAAAAATATTATTATATTCTTTTTTTCTTTGGAGATACTTCAGCAGTAGGCCTTGACAGCTAGAATAACTGTAAATGATTAAGTGTAAATGTTCCTCCAYGCTCTCTCTCTGTAAGGAGATATTTCACAGATTGTAGCAGATTTTTAGACCTGGTTCATGTTTTTGAGGTTTTTGCATGCCTAATAACTACTAAAATTTAGGAGCAAATGGAAATAACAATKACTTCTTATTCATTAAGCATATCCRTTGTTATATTTTCAAGAAATTAGCCATTTTACCCAGTTTGATATCAACACTTTTGTCCTTATAGCTTCTACATAAAGAAATGCATTGTGGAAAACTCTGTGTACAGTGCAGGCTATGTTATAACCCTTATTTTTTCCTTCTGGTGCTAGTCTTCTGGTGCTCCTTGTTAAAAACAATAAATTAGGGCTATTGTGTTACTGAAGTTGTTTGCTCTTTTGTGCTGCCTAATACGAGAGTAGCGGGGTCTGCAGTTGCTCACTCTTTGTTAACAGCTCACCCAGGTGTTCCTTCGAGTGCTCTGTGGTTTTGAAGATYCTTCTGAGAACCAGAGTGATGTGGCTGATGATGATGAACGGTGGTGCCAGCGCGGGCCGCCCGTGATACTCCACGATCAGGTTGTAGCGCTGCAGTTTCCAGAAGATGTCTGCGTTTCCCTGAACAACTTGGAAAGTGTAACTGTAGTTAGGAAAGGAAAGGCTTTTCTTATAACTGTTCTTATCTCAAGAAGCTGATTATTACGAAACAGAGACCTATGTTTGCTTTAAATTAACACCCKACATTAACAGACCCTTCTATGTAGGTTTATGGGATTTTTGGTGTTAAAAATGCTCCTTTGAGGATGAACTCAAGAGCTGTGAGATCATAAAAGTCTACCTATCAGCACCCACTTAATATTCCTTGGCAAAACTGCTGATGTATTCCCAGAGGACCAGCCATGAACTATGTCATTTATGTGTGTGTTCAGCCCAGGGAAATAGCACTTGCCTGAACATGGCAATCAGGAGATTCATAAGGAGGACGTTTGTGACCAGCAGGAAGATGACCAGCAGAAGGATGACGAGCCAGTTGGCGTAGTTGTTGGGGCACGATGGGGAATTCTCCTGCAGAAGCTGCAGGGGATTAAAGGTGCAGTTCCTGGGATACATCCGTGAGGCTGCAAAGGAAGACGGGGAAATAAAACACTAGTTTTGACATATCGTGGCACCCCGTGTATTTATTAGAGTGTAACAAGAACTTTGTATTTTGGGGAGCAAAATCCTGGACCTTTGATGAAGAATGACACAAATTATGAATTATTTCTGGGGCTTGAGTTATGGAATTTCACACCAGTAAAATGCAAAGAAATGTTGAATGAATATCCCTGGATGTGTCATCTRATAAGAACAACTAATGACATGGAAGTAAATACTTAATCTTTTTCTGCTAATATATAAATTAAGATAGTGATTGATCATTTTATTTCTTGGGAGACGTTCTACTCTATTTTACCAACTTCTCGCTCAAAAATGTCATATCTAAACCTTTATGGCTAAGTATTTCCAAGTCTCATGCCTATTTGTATCTTGTTTTGTTTTAAATGTCACATACACAAATCCTGGCTTTATTTAAATTGGTCAGCTTTACTTCCAAAGTAAARACTCTAGAGAAATATGTACTTAAGAATACATGTGTTTGGTTATGGGCAGAGCTGTACTGCTTTAACACAGTCACGTTAAACAACTGTTAAAATGTATTACTTCTGTTTACATAAGGCTTATTTGGGTCTAGCTTAAGCTGACCAGAAATGGATTTAAGTGAAAGTAGCAACCTTTAAAACTGCCAACCCTTGTGGGACAGTTTATTTTAAATAGGGCCAACCCTGTACATTATCTGTCAGTGCGCCAAAAAAAAAAAAAAAAAAAAAAGTCATATTATAGTCATGTGAAAGCTCTGGCTTGCAGGGCGGAGTTCTCTATTTTATTTTTTAAAGAAGGAAAAAAAAAAAAAAAAGACAAGAGTGGGAAGGAATTTCTTATCCTGGTCAGAATCCTGTATTCTGAAATGGTCGTGTTAGTGGAAGGAAAAAATGTGTTCTCACTGTCTATTTCATCCAGTGGGATCTGGCCAAAGATCTGAAGGTAGGGCCGATAGAGCACCCTTCGGAATATCCACTCCACTCGGCCGTCGTCGGGATGGAGCAGGGCTTGAGTTGTCACACCGTAGGCRATGAGCCACACGCTCAGGAAAAACAGGAAGAAGAAAACATCCTTCATCTAAAAGACAAGCGGGAGGGGATAAAAAGGGGAGGAGAGGACTGGCACAGATTAACCAAAAAATAACAGGCTTTCCAAAGACTGTTGGGGTAATTGTTTCCTTAGAGGCTTGTTTAGAACCCAGTAAGTGGAATAGGAGACAATTCTGTGCTAAAATTTTTAGCCTTGCTGCTGTCCTACAGCTCTTGTTCTGTATTTGGCATTTTTCTTTGCTGTCTCACTTTGGCTAAAGGCATGTTTTAAATCAAAACCTTTGAACGMTTCTCAGTCAGCCGGCATTTAAAAATGGGAGTCGTGTAGCCTTTTAGTGATGAATGAATCTCGTGAATGAATGAATCTTATTTTGCCTTTGAAATGCAGATTTTCTGCGAGGTCTCCCAGCAGCACCGACTGCTCTCCTGTGAATTAAGAGAGTTCTGCTGTGGAGCATCCCTGCTGGCACTGCTTGCTGCTGAATCCTGCTGCCCTGTTAGAGCACACATTGAGGACTGCAAGGATTGGGTAGCTTCTCTCTTGGGTTTCCAAGGCAAGTAATGCATTTGCGGGATTGTTTTCAGGACTTTCTGCTTTTAAACACTGTGTTTCTCTACAGAAACTGCAGTAATTGAATCCTAAAACACTTATTCAAAAAAAAAAAATCRTATATATTTCAGGTGCAGTAATTTTCTCCTGGTGGAAGAAAAACAATTCATCCTCTTCCYATCTGATCTATCTGCAGAGTTCATTAATGACTGCAGATTAGATCAAATGCCCTATATGACTGCAGTTAGACCAAATCCTAGGCATTTCAGCCCTGGGGGAGGTTACTTGAAGCTCTGTTTGGCAACATGATAGCTAAGCCAGGAGGAGGGGGGCGGGGGGGAGAGATACTGAGTGTATCTCTAACATCCACCAATTTATTTTGTTTTCCAGACCACTTAAAATTTGGCAGTATTACAGACCTGCAGTAGTGGCAGAGTTAAGCAAGAGTAGTGGCAAATCTGGAAATACTTTGGCAGTTACCAAAGTTGTTTCCGCAATTTTTTGGCAAGGTTAAAAGGCTGAAAATCACTCAGGCAATCCTGACTTGCTTCTCTGCTCGAGCAGAATGAATCTTGCTTGAACTCCCATGATGAACCTTTCAAAATATCATTTGCAGAAGTAAATTTCACTGTTGTTTTTTGATGTAAGTAAGGTTCAATCTTGTAGCACCAAAATCACAGCATTTTGTTGACTTGCATGGAGGGAAGAGGAAAGATCCCAGTTTGTTTTTTTGTCCCTAGGCTGCTCTTTTTGTCTGTACTTGCAGCTTCTTAATTGCTGTCTTCTCTCATATGACTTTCAATGCTACCACAGTACTCACATAACCATGTTTGTTCAGAGCCCTGGTTAGCTTGGTTCGGAGCCAGGAGGCRTTGGGAACTGCAGATTGGATTTGTTTCCTTACAGTGCAAGTCTATTGCTGCTGCACATAAGATTCTGCACAAGAGCAAATATTTATTTGCTGTTTTGCTTTTGCTGCTCCGAGCAAATGTCATGTCAGAGTTCCAGTTATAGGATTTGTGGACAGAGCCCAACAGTTTAGCAGTTGTGTTTATTCAATGTATAGGCTTGTTTAGACTACGGGGCTTTTATGAAGCTCTGCTCTGAGTCACAACTCAAATATTTGTAGATTCCACGATAGCGTTTGCAATTAGATGAACTGCTATTAATCAGTTACATGAACTAATTGGCCTAGAGGATTAACATGCCTAAATAAAAAGCTATCTGAACATACTGACACATACCCAAGCTTATGTCTTGTTTCCTTCAGGAATGCAGTGATAAATAAAAATCTTTTATCAACATCTTTTAACACATGTTCACAAAGTATTAACATGTTTTCATTGTAACTTAGGGTTACAAAACACAAGTGAGAGCAACTCCTGCAGGCAACTTATCCTGGGCACTGAGCCAGACTATTTTCACAGATTTATTTTATTTTATTTTTTGCAAATAATACAATCTGCTTTCCCCTCTGGACTATTATGGATAAGTAAATGGCTTGTCCTTCAGTAAAGGGAGTTGTCGCCTGTCTGAGCTGACTGCAAATGAACACAGCTTCTGAAGCAGGAGGAAACTCGAGCCGAAGCTCCTGCAGTCCTGATTGCCAGTCCTGGGTGTTAATGACTGTATAAGGCATAAGGAATAGTAAATGTAGCCCGGGTTGTTACACTGCAGAGTTCTTCAGCAGGATCTATATTGAGTTTATCACATCTGTTGCTAGAGAAATAAAATGCAGTGTATGCAAAATTTCAAGCTCAAATTTAAAAAGATTACAAACTAATTTGCTTTGTAAGGGCAAAGAAGTGAGTTCCTGCTCTCTGTTTTTAGAAGCACAAGTGTTTCTGGAGATAGACTTACCATCCTTTCCACAATTATGATCTTTGGTCCAAGTTGTTTGTGAATGGCAAAAATATGTATAAGTCTAAGTGTAAACACCATGAAATCAATGGCAAGTATAGTACGGCCAGCTTGAAAGGTTGAGTTCAGCATCCTGCAAAACACATCAAATGAAAAACCAAAACCCAGCAAATACTGCTAAGAAGCAGCTCTCAGTTACACTCGGTTTCCACACACAGTATCTATGGTATACCAGAAATGTAGAGGCTGTCGCTGTAGAAATGTACTCAGAACTTGTAAAAGTAAATGCTATGGCCTGTCCTCGTGAGTACACATGACCATCAAACATGCAACCCATGCTACAGATGCTGGAACTGCTACATACCGGCAGGTCACTCCAATTATGAAGAGAAAAATGGTCACCATATCACATTTATTCCAGTTATCCTCTACATACAGTTTAAATTTTTTCATTAAATTTGTGTCCTTATTTGTAAAGAAACTCTGAAAAAGAGAAAAGATCATCACTATTGTTCATAATGTTTCACATTTCATTACTTAATGATTTTAACATAAACCCAATTTCTCGTTATCTGTCTCCTTACAAAAAGGAAACTCAAATTTCAAGTGTAACAAAAAAAATCTGAAGCGAGCGAGCTGAAGGCTCGCTTTTTTTACACCTTAATATCCTGAAGTTGCATGAAAAAAAAAACCAAATCCCAACTTATCTTTAATCTTGTGATATTAACTTTATGAATTTTTAGGTATGAATTCATCATCCATATACATGAATTGTAAGTGAGTGCATATTTGAGGATTTAGGCAAAGAGCTGTCTTAACCTGGGTTTCAGCCTGGCACTCTTTATGCTTTACAGGTTTATAATTAAGTGTCCTTTGATCCAGCAGTTTTCCCTCTGCTCCTGTTTAATTTTCCTGCAAAATGTCAAGTAATCTGGAGGGAAGAAAGGGGATAGTGGTGGAATCCCCTACACTGTCCCTATTTTTTTTTCCAACTGTTTTTTMCCCTAAAGAGGACTTATGAACCTAGGGCTGCCAATGTACATTGGCCACTCACGTGTGATTTCAGTAGCCGAACTAAGGACATTTCCAAACCAGTAACTGGGAAGAGTAACGGGGAAATCTTAAACCCACCCCTTTCCCCCACAGGTAAGAGATCCATTAATGTTTGAGTTAGGAAGGATTTTAGCCTGAATTCATCAACTCCTCTTCTTTTTAACAGTCCCAAGGAGAGGCTGATTCTTCCAAAGGGAGGTTGGGTTGACTGCTCCATTTCCAGGTGCAGCAGATTATCTTAACTGTGGTGGGAGGACCTGGTCTGGGGAGTAAAATTAGATACACCTGGCCAAATAAAGGCTATATCTGAGTCTTAGCAGCCCATTTACCTATTGACTACAGCTGCAGCTGCTWGGAAAAACAGAGGTGGAGCTACAGCCCATACCGGGAGGAAGAGCCTGTTGTGAGAGAGAAAAATGGGATGCTCTGGATAATGTAAGTTCTGTGCTACTTTTCTGTGCAAAACTGTTCCTGATATTCAGTAGAGTCCAGTCTATGTGATTATGCAGATTATAAACATAGTCAAAATACTGCCTCAAGGTTTACTGTGATACTGATGAGAGACACAGTACGTTACTGACCTGTCGGATTTCTTCCAAGACGAGGGTAAAAACCCAGAAGTAAAGTATGATTTCTTTACTGGAGGGACCCTCTGGTGGAGGTGGTTTAAAGTCCAATAAAAGGACATAAGTAAATAGGAACAGAAAAGCAAAGTACATTATAACATTGCCCATAAATACAGTCACAGGGGCACTCCAGAATTTTTTCCAGCGAGTGAAGAGGAATGTTGCCCATGCTATGTTTTCAGAAGAGTTCTCCTTTTCTAATTTACCATTTCCTCTGCGAAGGAGAAAAAAAAATACAGTTTTGGTTACAATTTTCTAAATGGGAACAGGCCCAGAATTACTCATGATGATGCTTCTCATAAGACAGTAACAGGTAGATGCTGGTGGGGGCATGGAGGAAGGCTGTACAAGTCAGAGAGATCGCATTACCACAGCAGAAATATTTCTAGTCAAAGGTAAATGTTTTGTAAAACAGGTTTGTCACAAAAGTTGTATTAATTGACTCTCTTAAACTCACCTATCTTCTTCCTTGGAAAGAAACAAAGTCCTCTCTGTATCTAAACTGTCCAGCTCTCTAAATGGCTCTGGTTCATTCTTTGATTGTCTGTCTTCCCTGTAGGAAAATAATTGCATTAGTTGAAAGATGATCTATGGCAATTCTTCAGTATTGAATTGGCATCAATACAGGACTSTTTGCATGAACTTGTCTTGGACTTGCTCTGCCGAGAAGTAATCAAATAAGCAGAATTTATTATAGGGCTAAAGTTTATGTATATTTCTAAAGTAGAAATCTGAAGCCAGCACAAGACTTAAAAGAAGTGATCACTGAAATGTGCTTCGTGAAAATGGAGTAGTGTGCTCATTTTCCTCAAAATATTTAGGAGGGAATTTTGTCTGTCAGTCAGTCCTAGAAGACAAATACCCCACTGYTCTGTTCCTGGTCCCATTTAGTAGTAGTTAAGAAAAGAAATGCCAGAAACGGGAGGCAACGTGGTGTTCAGGTCTTGCCTTTCTATGGAAAAGAGGCAGAGATGTCCTCAAAAGAGCAAATTTGGAACAGATTACTTTGTAAATGAATCATAATTTAAGTCTTTCCAAGAAAACTTTGCTGAAATTCCACATTAAACTACCTGGATTGGTGAAGTTGGGACCCACTGTGCCAATAAGAAGCTAGGTTTAATGATACTGGCAGAATGAGTCTGAAGGCAGTGATGGCAAACATGCTTTCCTCTTGCTTTGTTGCTTTATAATTGGTTTAAGAGGTAAAATAAGCATATTTGTTTCATAATAGCATGTTATTAACTTCACAATAWTTGGAGGTTCTTGAAGTTGCGGTTCTTGGATTCTTATGACTGATCAGTTTGGCTTTTTTGTTGGTTTTTGTTTTGAGTATGAACTCTAAAGGCTATGCCTGCAGGAGACTAACAAAGATATGCCATAGGATATTAAATTTTGAAATTCTAACAGGATTTTCTGTCAATTCTGGGKTTTTTTTGTGCCTAATCTGTATTTCCAAATGTAGTGGCTGATAATTGGTTGCTTTCCTTGTAAGGCACTGAGGTTTCAACCAGGAATCTTGACACCTAGAAGCAGAAGGTGCTATGGCTGGAGCTGAAGCTGACAGAACTACAACAGGCTTTTCTGGGTGTAGTACAGAACAACAGGACTAGGCACAATAGAAGTGATGTTTGAAACTCTCCAGTCGTTGTGTTTTAGGCATTAGAATAGGTGCTAGCACAGGATGCACAAATTGCTAAGTCTCACATAAAAAAATGATTTGGTTGTGCAAGCCTTTGTGCACCAAAGGCTTGACCTTCAGAGGTGATTTAACAAGCTCATGGTTTATATGTGAAATGTTGAGGTTGGGTATTTCTCAGGACTCATTTTTCTTCCTATAATCATCTTTTGTCCTCAAATATTTAGTTTTTTACCTGAATGCTATTAAATTTGTGTAGATTAGGAGAGGACACCAGAATGCACAGATTAATTTCAAGATCTGCGTGCTCGTTGACATGTCTCCCCACCATATTTTTGTCAGGAAGGCCTGCAAATCAAAAAAAAAAAAAAAATGCAGGAATTACTTTGACAAAAACTCACACAGAGCTCAAATACAGCTATTTTCTGTGGCTCCAAAGACAGTGAAGATCAGGCAGTGCTCTGAAAACGTAGACAGCAGACAGACCTTCAGAGCAAMCAGGTCCTCAGTGCATCCTTCTGTAGGTTTTTATGTGTATCCAAAAAGCTAAGAGATGACAGTGGAAGGAATGGCAATTCAAGTAAATTAAGCATCATCTGCATTACTGAAGAACTATACTCATTTACTACTGATAAAGCATGGGCTAGCCACTGAGAGGTAAAAGCACCACCACTCTTAATTTACTTGTGTGAATGTGGATAGATCTCAGGATATGGGGGGAAGATTGAACAGTAACTTGATTTAATTTTTTATCAGTGAGCTTTTCTTTGGATTTCAACACTGTACAGGAGCTCCCTAACGTTTTGGAGCAGCTTCATTATGCCTAAGGCAAATTTGAAGTGCTTTCCTGTTATTTCTGGGAGCAAGGAAAGGGAAAAAGCACAGGATGGAAGGAGGACTGTATCTTTTTCTCAGTGCACTTGTCTCAGTGCTAGCTGCAGGAAAGGGAGGGGAAAGAGGGAAGTGTGCTGGCTTGCCAAGGATGCAGCAGAATCCCCTCTTCAGTGGGTACCAGGGAGAGGAAACAACGTCTTGAAGGGAATGTGTTTTCTGGGCTCATTCAGGAGCTGCAGCTGCTCTTTTCTGTGTYGCAGCCCTGGGAGCAGAGGTGGTGAGGGAAGTGCCCGTGGAGCTTACCTGGACACCATCGTGTGCAAAGAAGGACTTGGCATCTGCTTCTGTAGCCAGCTGCAGGCAGGTGGTTTTGCTCCAGTACTGATTCTTCCTCACCAGGAGAGCAAACGCCCTCTCCTCACTGTTGTGATAGCATTCACTGAACAGCTCTGCCAAGGGAACGAAATGGAGACGGATGGATCTTAGCACAGAAGATGAAACGTGAGGCAAGAGGGTGGGGTGTGTGTGTAAGGCACCATATACTGGCACCAAGGCCAGAGCGTTGCCAAATGCTGCCTGTCCTGGYGGATTCTGTGAGTTTGGAGTGCTTGAAAGGAGCTTGAGAAAGCAAGGAGSAGGAGAGAGGGGTCATTCCAGACACAAGAACAGCTTAATTCAGCTTTATGCATGTGGGTACCTGTGGGTGGGGCAAAGAGCAGTTTAGAAACATATTTGCCCAGGTGAAAGAATCATTGGAATTGCTGTAATTTTTAAATTCTTACTGTTTACAGAAAGGTATGGAGTGAATCTCTCGGTGCTTCCTTCTGACATCTCCCACCTGCAAGTTGCTTTTTCAACTCTGCGACTCTAACAGTTTGCCCCCTTACTGCAGGGTATTTCTTTCTCAGTTCAATCACAACAGGTCAATAAGTTACAGTCGCTTTGGGAGATTCCCTTAAGCTCTGAGGTGTGAGTTGCCAAGCTGCCCTCGTTCGCCTGAACAGACTAAACAAAAAGAGYAGTTCAGCTTTACTTCGTAGCCCACAAAGGCCCAGTTTTAACTTATATAAGTTGAAACCTGAATAATGCTAGATCTGTAGTGTGTTGTAGCACAGTTTTTTCCTTCTATTTCAAGCAAAGCTGGTGGARGAACTTAGAAATTGGGATGAAAAGTGCACCAAAAAGTCAAATTTTTATCCTAAGAAGATCTGTTTTCTTGTGTCAGCTTGTTTCATTGTGCTGATTCACTCAATTTTCTCAGTACCTTTCCTAGCCCAGTCTGCACCTTGTTGTTGCACTGTAATGAGAGGAAGGAGGGTCAAGATCCCATAGAATAGACTGATGCACATATTTCTTTTGCAGTTGACAATGGTATCTATCATTTGCTCTCTTTAATTAATACTGACATTGATAACCAGGCCAGAAATGGAAACTGAGGATCTGACTGGATGTTTATCAAAGCCAAGGAGCAGACTTCTGTGTGTTGGATTAGACTAAACTGTGGGCCACAAGACTATATCGGAACCTGACTTTTATACTTCACAAATACTTAACAGCACCGTGAGAAAACGGAAAGAATGTGATCTGTGTATAAATAACATAGCATAACATAAGTCTGCATGAGCCATCACCAGCTTGATATATTGGGTCTAAGGGGAGAGAAGTATGTTCTGCATGTGGTATATTCCAGTGTCTTTTGTCCGTATATTCCAATATTTCGTCTGTTTACGGTGCTGCTACTTTGAGGTACAAATTGGACTGGATATCAAATCAGCAGAAAAATTCATATGCAAGAATTTGTCTTCGCAGTGAGCTACAGAGAAGGGCTTGTCACTCTAGTGCTGCTGCTGTCTGAATGTGTAATGCTGCAGGGAGGAGCTGCCAAGCCRAGCTGAGCGTCGCTTGGGAGCTCTGCAGTGTTTTGCAGTGCAGAGAGCCCTCCTTTGGGTGAGGTAATCTTGAATTATCTTTAGCCTTAGTGAGGACAAGCCTTAAAATTTGTCGCTCTAATGGCTGTTTCGGAATGAATTTAACAGCATGGGAAAAACAGTGTGCTCTAAGTCTGGAAGTATTTTGATTTTTTTCTGTTTTGCCCATCATTATAAGGCACCTTGTTTTAGTGTCAGAAACTTAAAATGCCAACACATACTGCTCCAAATCAGCATTTGGAGTTTGCTTTTATATAATATATATGTGTATATATAAGTTTTTCTATGATATTTGAATGTTTGGCAGTGCTTGTGTTGCAAGGGTGTTAAATAATTCACGACAGGGAACCTTTCCCAACCTGAAGAGGGTGGTGTGTTTTTTTTTTTTTTTCATTTGCTTTCCTACCACAGTCACCACCTCTTAAATTTTGGCTGCTGTTAACAAGCTGCTGTTAGTTACCGACGGCGAGCTGCTCGTATCTGGCCTCCTTCATCACGGGCGCTGCTTCGGTCTCCATCTCCAGGCGGGACATTTCTTTAAGGATCTTGCAGGCTGCCAGGGCTGAAGCTACACCCTCCTGACCCTGTAAAGTTGAAAGGGGATTTGTTGTTACTATCTGCAGGTGGGCTCCAATACAGACGTGGGGATTTAGAACACTGATCAAAATGACRGTTTTGTTGATATCTGAGAGTCTAGCTACTTATTTGTAGTTCTTGTGCTGTACAAGGGTATTGATGGGTGTTTTGCTGACAATTCACRCTAGAAAGCTCTGCTATTGGGTAGCACTTAAGGGCTGAGAGTAGAGAAATGGCTGGTGGAGGTAGAGCAGAACACACCCTGCCTGAAGAGCCACGCTGCAGCTCAGCTCCCTTTCCGTGTCCTCCATGTGTGAGCTCCAGCTGTCTGGAAGCTCACACATGGAGCCTGGCCTCTGTGGAGGGCAGAGGAGGGGGAAGCTGCAGCACTGCCCTGCGGATGGATGAGGTGGTGGTGGGGAAGTGCAAGGCAGGGGCCTGCTATGGCACTCAGGAGCTCAATCCTGGAGATTTTGACACTAAATACTAGTGTGTTTAACTTCAGTAGTTATCTACAGAGACTGCWCTTAAGCTGGAGATGCATGACTGCAGTGTCTCCTCTCCTGACCACTCGTAAACCCAAACAATTGGGCTATTATAGACGATAGAAAATGGGAGGCTGAGAGCTGAGTCACCAGCTGCAAGAAGGGCCAAGGCTCAGCTCTGCAGCTGACRTGGACGAGCAGAGCTGCAGGCTCTGCTCATTTATGCTGCACAGCTTCAGGCTGTGCTGAGGGCTTCCCGAAACGCTGGGATGTGACCCAGTGCCAGGTGCTCCAGGTGTCCCTGCTGGAGCAGGAGGGTTGGACTGGATGATCTCTGGAGGTCCCTTCCAGCCTCAACCATGCTGTGATTTCCACTGCTGCTGCTCTGCCCTCCCTCTCTGTCAGACTCTTACTGGCATAAGCCACTCTGAGATGGAAGGCCCTATAAATGCCAGCATTTTAGAAGCTAATCTATGTCATCTTAATGGCAAAGCTGAGCAAACAAACAAAAAACCCTCATATATATATATRTGTGTGTGTGTGTGTGTATGTATACACATATATGTATATGTATGTGTGAAATATGCCAGTACTTCACCTGAAGCAGCTACAGCTCATAGCTTACCATAGCCCAGAAATAGTTTGCCATCTTGTGCCGGTTTTGAAGTACTGCCCATAAAAATAAATCCCTCCAAGGATTTTGGCTTTTCTGGTTCATATCCAAGGGCCCRGGTAACTGCTTTGTATTCATTTTATCCTGAAATACGATTTTGAAAAATTAAAACCTCCTTTGCGGTCTCTATTTCCATGCAAATGACAAGATCCAAGCATCTCTCGGCCTTGCYGACTACTCCATATTCTTTTATTTATTTACTTTCTTTTCCTTTAGGACTAGGAGGTATTTAGTTCATTCTGTCCAGAATCAAAGACCCTTGTATCCCTGATATAACTCAATATGTGTGAGAACATTTTGGCTCCATTGAAGCCAATGGCAAAGCTCTCATTGACTTTATTAAGGCGAGGGTTTTCACCACGGGTGTGTAATATCATACAAGACAAACCTGTGATTAACTAATCTGAGCTGGTCTTCAATTACATCAGATTCTGCTCAACTGCAGCAGAGGACATGGTTTCAGAAAAAGGGAACAAAAGACATTTTATTTAAACACAAATAAGTCTCAGCAAGGCCCTGATGTGCTCTATTCTTGAAACGTTCAATGCTCTCTTTTTCAGTCCTTCCTCTGAGAAATCTCTCCCTCCTGCAGGGAGTATTTGAAGTAGAACACGGCTTGTTCCCTTTAATGTAAAATAAAAACCTCTCTAGAGCAAGTGTGGCAACTTAGGTCAAGTTCTGAGCTTTAAGTAAACTTAAAATGTCTTTATATCTGTTGTGTTGATTAAAAACAGGTAGGGTATGTGTGTCTGTGTGTGTAGGATTATAAAACAAGTTTTCACGAGCATATTTTTTAAAATTACATAAGCTATGRGGTTCTGTTCGAAGGTATTTATATGACTTTTTCTTTTTTTCTTTTTCTCTTTGTTGTTGTTGTTGTTTTATTTTAAGTGAGCTATTCGGTCTATTAAAATGCACTGAAAACCCTGCAGGCAACAAAGATAGCCCTAAAGTCTCATTTATCTTAGAGCACTTTGTGCAACCACTAGATCCTAACCTGAAAAAAGATTATGGAATTGAGCCAGTACCTTCCATATGTGAATTSCACAAAGAGAATTTTCAGGCTTTTAGGAAGATTTCAAGGGCAGATTTTTATTTCAGTGAAGTTTTTAAATTTGAAGTCAGCCCATTGACTTCAAAGGTATTGCCCCAAATGTCTGTATCTGCAAAAGTAGAAACGCTGCTCCAAGTCCAGGGTGCTTACCCAGGCCTCGTCACACAATTGTTCTTATTTCTTGGTGTCTATTATATCCCTCAGTAAGAAGATTAAAAAGATCTACAGGCAGTTACCCCACAGTGCACATTTCTGAATATCCATTCTCCCCTATACAATATAAATCTATGAATAGCTTTCCTCATAAAGGTTACCATTTTCAGGATCTAGTTTGCCTAAGCAATGCAAGCCCAGACCTGGAACTTAGGCCATSACCTGCTTCTGTTGAAATCCTGTTGTTCAAGTGCATCTGCTTGAAGTTCCAATTGCAGAATTGCAGACTGCTATTTCTATGGCTTACTTACTCCTTGGTAAACCTTAACCTGTCTCTTAAGGCTCCCTGCATTTCTWTCATAGAATCTGTTCTTCATGTCAGGCTAATAAGCTGTTCTGCCTGTGTAAGGTGCTGGAATGAGAAAACAATCTATGGAAATTGTGCTGCAAGGGTGTGAAAGATGGGCCTYTCTGCAAGAGGTCCTGAAATGGGAGCTATGTTTTAGCTCTAGTGMAAAATAAATCACCAGCTGTAAACTTCAGAAATTATTTTGTTCTTCTTTAGCTTTGACATTAAAAAGATCAAAATATTTAAACTGAAAAAACGATGAGCTGAAAAAAAAATAAAGGAATGAGAAACTGAAGTGCCTGTTTCTCATATTTTCATTTCTGTTCCCTACTCCCTCTCCTCTAAGATTAAACCAAGTCAAAGTTCTTGATATTAGGAATTGCAGAAGAACAAGATTATGACAGTGAGTTGTAACTTACAGATTTCTTCTTGCCTCCATGTCTTAGCTCTTGGTAGAAACCTTTGCAAGCATCATGGAGAAAATCCTTGAGAACTCTAGAGACCTCACTGAGACTGAAGAGCGGGGGCGTCTCCTCGAGCTCCTTGTGCTGCTGACCAGCGAGTCCTGCCAAGGTCAGTTTGCTTTCCTCGTGTTTCTTCAGGAGAAGTTTGTAGAGGAGGCACTTCTGAGAAACGGAGCAGTAGAGTCGCTGCAGCCGACTGTACGTCAGGAAGTCGGACATGTTGGCCCCGTTGTCGATAAATAATTTCACAAATTCTGGTTTGTTATTGACCAAGGCATCCATCATCACTTCCTCCAGGTCACAGGACTGTATTGACACAAAAAATATATATATATATTTTTTTTGTGGAGGTGGGGGGGAGGTCATACTCAAGATTCACTGAGGAGAAGAGGTAGCCTTTAGCACTTTTCACCTGCTTCCAGGTTAAGAGAGTGGAATAAGGAAGAGGGGTAAGTCCCTCCTCATTTCTCTATGAGAAAACATTAATGTAAAAATGTTAAGTATACATTAATGTAAGCATCAATATAAAAATATTAATACACGCTGTAGGTACCCATGGTAGTGCATGGGGTACTCCCCTGCAGTGGAGAATGCAGGGACTCATAAAAACTGATGTCAAGATCTTTCAGATACAAGGATGTCCTGAAAAAGAAATTGGATTATGGACTGTTTGTCCTTTAAACTAGTAAAATCCAGTACCTTCCACTCCACATCCCCATTGAATATTTCACTCTTTGCTATGTCCACTCTATTCCAGGCCACTGCCAGCTTTAGTTCATCCAGATATTCCTGGGCCTCCTGACTGTGGCTTTTACAAGCTGCCAAAAATAAGAAATACAAATAAACTTAGTACTTAACACTGCATTAAATTAAACATAATGTGTATGCGACCTGAATAGCAAAATGAGATCTCTTATTTGGGTATCTCAGACTTGAGGGTCCCTTATCCAGCAATCCTTCATAGCCATTTTTGGTTCTCCTAACCTAAGAAATTGTAATAATCTGAAGATACATTTTTTCTAAGATTGTTTACTAGCAGAATTCTGTATTAAAATTTTAATATCCATCTTTGTAGATGGATCCTCTTCTGCATAAAGGGATGGCTCTTGCTGTTTTTGTCTTAATTAGCACACTAGATGCAGAGTGTCCCTTCCCCATGCTGAAATCAGTCTGGTCCAACACTGACTGAAATGGAAGGCATTTTTCGGGAGACACAGTGATGGCTTTTTGTAGGAGAACTGGACTGTTTGTGGTGCCAAAGCAGTTGGGATCTATTTGTGGTTTTTCAAAAAGCTTTTAAAAATGTCTTATAATAACTGTTCCAGTATTTTCTTTTGCAATTATTCCTGCAATTTTTTAATATTGCTAGTAGAAAGAGCAAATGGAGAAATAAAGGAACTATAACAATAGTACTCTATGACAGCATTAGATCAAAAAACAAACATTATATAATTTGATACAAGTTTACAAGAACTCTGGGTACTGCCTCAATTATTTTGTCAATGAGCAAGCATAAGAATTCTGCATCAGAAATGAAATCTGATCCAATGGCCAACCAAGCTTGCTCTGGTCACTGGAATAAAATACATGGTTGACACAAAAGTCATCAAATAAGTATTGTAGGTTGTGTGTTTACTGCTCTTACCTTTTACCAAAGCTTTTAAAATGACTGTGTCTAGTTCTTCTGAATTTTCTTGCTCGAAGTTGTGCAGAGTTAGAAGATGTTGTTGTGAAATGATGTTCTGTATCTATTGGGAGTTGAAACAACAACTGCTTTAGTCATTGTCCTCCTGCTACACATTAATGACCAAAACCTTGTTGCAGATCACATCTGTAGTGGGTCCCACATAACTTATGTTCTAAATGAAAGAATGAGATTTAGCCAGAAGATGAACATTTTCTCCCATGTAAATGAGGCAAGGAAGGAATAATTATCTTGTCCATGTCCAAAATCACATAGCAGGGTAGCAGGAATAGAATTCAGATATCCTGAGAACCGGACCAGTGTTTTAAAGCATCTYTTTTTTATCTCTCATTTTTATATTTGTATCTTAGTCATGAGACTAGCATGAGAATAGTTCTGTTTCACTGTTTTCTATTTGGCTTTTAACTTGTTATCTATTTATAATCATATTCTTTTCCTATAAGTCCTATAATGATAGGAAGACGATATCAAAGGCTGAAGGGCAAGATGTCTTAAATATTTATGTATAGTGGATTGAATTCAAGGAATGTGGCTCAAAAAGTGGTGTGGATACTATGAATGTGTTAAAAATATGTTTTTTTTWAAAAAAGAAGAAAACTTACAACTCAGAATAGCTGGTCTAACAGGAATGGTGATTAGAAGMTAATTTATTCATGCATATCTGCAATTAGGCTTTATTTAACAGCTGTAGATCATGAATTTGGTCTCTTCTTTCACAGCTGCAGTAGCTCCACAGCTGTGGAGGATGAATAATGCTTCACGAGGTTCCTGGGAGCTGACTGCTACTTAAGGAAATAATTGAGGCAGGACAGAGCCCTAAGTGTTCAGCTGAGTTACGAAGACAAAATAGCTTGTGTGATCTACTGAACATTCAGTTTTAATGTCAGATAGAGCTGTGGCACTAGCGTTAAAGCACTGGGGTATCCTAAATTGCTGAGCAGCTTCTTGGGAAACCTGTAYTGCCTGGACTACTAAAGCTAGTAATGGTAGGTGAGAGCTTATGAAGACAGTGCACATAATTATCAAGGATAGGAGCTTACTGTTGCTGTCCACTGGAGAATGTCCTTCCATAAGAAGTTTTCTGCAGGGAATTTCTCTTTGAATTGCTTTTCAACCACTTCTGGCATGATAAGCTGTGGCTCATTCATGAAAACGGCTAGGATGTCAGCTGTACCTCCAGATCCTGCTAAGATAAGCCAGGGAGCAGAATTCTCCAAACCGCGGCAAATTCTCTGTAGTTTAAAGAATACGTTTTTAGAATTCATATGTCGAAGGAAATTTTGAAGGATCTTCTATCCTGCATGGTATTTGCTCTTGGAAGTATGACACTATATTTTGCAAATGGCTTATCTAGCAAACCTGGCTTTGGCTGTCCTTGGAGCTTGGTGGCAGAGACGACTGTCTCACTGTTGCTGGACAGTGCTGAACGATTAACCTACTAGTATGTGATCTTGAGCAATAGCTCAGGATATTTATTCCTCTGGATTTGGAGCCAGCTTCCTTCCCTAGGTACCAGCTGGCACTGGAAGCATTAGTGGTCTGGTGGTGGCTACTCAAAATGAAGTATTTCTCTCAAGAACTGGCAACTTTAATTCTTTAAAACTTTAAAATTTAATTCTTAAGTGGTATAGGTGTGAGTTTTTACTCTTCACTTGCAGATGATGCATGTATTTATTTCTCAGTTTTACATCAATTGTTTCATATTTTGCAACAGCTRTTTTTCTTTTCTAGCATTACTATTAGCTTCTTACCTCAAGTGTGCTTGGTCCTCCRTTTACTAGGAAGCAAAGGACAGGGATCTCAATGCTACCTGTTCCTGTGAAATAGGTAATTAAAAAGTTAACTTTCACAAAACTATTGTGTTTCTGCTGTGTCCTTGAAATACTTGTCCTGTTATGTACCGTTTCCATACCCACCAAAATTTGAACTTGCAGGATTTAGGCAATTCCAGAAGCCAGTGGCAAAGTAAGAGAATGTAACCCTGTAACCCAGCAGACAAGGTCTCAGTTTCAAGCTCAGGATCACGATGCCTTTGCCACACGTCCTGCATGATATTTTGGCAGGCAGTTGAGCATCTTCTCAACTCAGAATATCTCAGCTGCCAAATAYGACCAGATGTGCTTCTGTCTTTCGTAGCAATATTGCATGTAAGGTCATATAACTATTACTATTAAATATTAATCATAATTAGTATGATTATTATGACTCAGTATGAGTCAAATATTAATTGTAGCTAATATTTATGAGAAGCCGATCAAGATAGTGGGGAAATGGGGTAAATAAAATACATGTAAATGTAAGACAAGAGTGTTGTGTTTTCACAGGGACAGCTGACAGGGTTTCTATCCAGATGCAGTTTGAGGTGAGAAGCTTCTACTTTGGCAGAAATGTTCAGTTGTGCTCCCTCCTCTCCTGTCCCCCAATTTAAAAATGTACCTAGCATGTGCAGGAGGGTATAGCGGAATTCAGGAGAAAAAAAGGTTTTAAAAATATCAAGAGCCTGGCTGTGCAGGCCAATTAGGGAGATATGACCTATATACGAGCCGACGGGAATCATATACTCTTTATTATTGTGCTTAAGCTGCACTGAATCACATTTTAGGCTGATTAATGAGATGGTGATTAATAACTATTCTTACATTTTTCAGTAGTTCTACATTTGAAAAAAAGGTGCTTATGAAATAGGTCTAACTTCTGTCATGGCAGCAGGGGAAGAAATGATGTAAGCATCCCTGCTTTTAGCCATCATCCCACAGAGACCCACTCATTCCTAGATGGTTTATATTGCAAAAGCTATACTCTGCATTCCCAAGGTGATTATACCTGGCCTAAAAAACTCCATCAAAATAGTGGCAACATGAGATGAATGCCTCTGATAGCTGGAAAATATTMTTTTAATTTAGTTCAATTTTTTTTTTTTCACGTTTTCCTTTGTAGATGTCCAAAAGCAATGTACAAGTCACCAATCACTACTTTGGGGATCTGCAGTGGGATAACTACAGGGATAAGGCCGAATTGCACTGTAGTCTGGAGAAGATTGGTAAGTAGCTTAACTTGTTTTCAGTGAATGGCATAGCACTGCCACGCTTCTTTACGGTGATACTCCAGTTGAAGAGTGACCAATGTGACAATGGAATCCTTAAATTACACATTTATGGATTCAAATTTTCTTTATTTAGAGTCATAGAAAGTTTAGATGAAGTGTTATAGGAAATTCTCATTTTATGGGGGAAGGTGGGAAGCCCCTAATTRCAAAGAATATGGAAAATATCAATTTTTTTATTTCAGTAAGGCTGAACAAAGCTCTTCAAAGCTGTAATGGAAAATGGTGCCATTGGTTTCTCTTAATCAAGTTTGGTTTGCAAGCTATTTTCTAACTGTCAGCGCTGTAACCTCAGCCTGCTTTTATGGTTCAAGTGTGGTCTTTCCTATCTGAGTCATAAGTAAAAAGGGTCCTTAATAAGCATTTGTACTCCCAGGAACATCCATGCAACCAGAGTATGGGCCACAAAATAGAATACTCCACTGCTGCAGGAGAGTATGAGTGAGCTCTCTCTGCTTTAGCTGTGATATTACAGAAGCCAAGGGAAGGTAAAAGTAATTGCCTGGGCACTACAGCTGGATTGTTTCCACAAATAGCAGTAGGAGGCCTGCACAACGTTCTTCTTAATGGAAATAAAGCTCACATAGCATTTAATGGCCATTTAAATCTATATTGTTTATTGAGGATGGGATTTCTGTCTAAAACTAAATAATGATTCTATGGCTTTAATTACTTCAGAGGACTTTCTACCAGTGTGGGAAGAATTCAAGACTCTCTCTGCAAGATGGTATGAAAGTGTACGGGAGAGAACATGCCTGCCTTAGAGTCACTAGTTAGGACTCGTAAAGCCAAATTTATTTTCCTTTTCTTTTTTTTTTTTTTATTTGTGTTTTAATGCAATCAGAACCGTGCTTTGAAGGTCACCTTTGAGCTGTATCTAAGGAGATGCAATACACAGCAGGATTTTTGGTTCAAACAGGTTTCTCAAGTTGCTCTTGTACAGAATGACCAGCATGTTTACTTGATTTTGCCTAAATGGATAGTAAGCTGAGACTTATACTTACATTTGCTAAGACCAGGATTCACAGGTATTTCTGTAATATCACTATCCAGGTTAACATGCTTATGATGAGTCTACTTACCTCCATATCCTGTACGCTGTTCTGAAATATGCTTTTCCAAGGTGAGACGTAATTTAGTGGTTCCATCGGGCTCATCTGGGGTTATGTGATCCACCAAAATAAAATGGGAATGGTTGTGGTCCAGTGAATACAATGGGCCTTGGGCGTTATCGTCTGACTGGTAATGTACAGGATTTTCATTCTGGAGAGAGAGAGAGAGAGAGAGGAGTGTTAGTGTTTTATGCAAAATATATTTCATATTCTTGTACATGGTTCATCTCCATTTTTAGTGTTCTTTACATGGTGACGTAGAATACAACTTTTCAGACAGAGAGACCCTTTGAAAAGGAGAGAGAATAAGAATGCATTTCTTGTAAAAGGCRTCAGATTCAGCAAACCTGAACGCTGAAGTCCTTGAAGATTCCCTTCAGGGCTCTGCAAAATRCAAAGACACCAAATGTCTGTGGAACTTGGGAATTGATTCAGAGGTTTTCAAACTGCTTGTTGGACAAAAGAAAAGGGACCACAAAAGCTGATGGCTGTGAACAAAATCTGAAGGATGGCTTAATTTGTGTCTGCTGGTACAAATAGAGGCAAGCCTATCGACTTCAGTAGCATTTTGGTCATGTTTAGACCAGTAAATAAGTTAGACTCTTATCTCCRCACTGATTTAAATGCAGCTTTATTTAGTTGGTAAGGTTATGGTATRCTCAGTTTGAAAGCAGAATTCTAAAAGACTATCATGTAGGTTTTAGAAAGTAGAATCTCTTCATTTTAATTTTATGGAGGAGTTTCGTCTTGAAAGTATTTAYTCTTTTTTGAGAACCTCATTCTAGTCTTTGGTTTTAGGGATTGCACTTAATATGGACTTCCATGCATGCTGTTTTTCAGGCTTCCCATCCATATAAAACCTTTCTTTCCCACTGCTGCATGTTCCATGAAAAGTATCTTGACAAGTTTTGTTTTGGCTGAGGGTTTTCTGCATCTTTTGCTGCCTTGTAGCCCTAAGGCTACTAGCCAGAGGGCTGGCCTTTGAGCAGGACGCTGAGCCTCAGCAACCAACGAAAAAAGGTTCCCAGGGATTTCCCTATTTATTTACTGAAGGGCTGGAAGGGATCTCTCCAGCAAGCTTAAAGTGTGTCATTAACTCAGAAGAGATGCAGGGATCCACTGATCTCAGGGTTTGTTTTGCTCCTTGTTAGTGTGAATTGTTAACTCCATTTTATACAATAAGCTGCTTGTGTTAGTGCCAAGTATAAAGAGAACTGGACTTAGACCAGCACTGCTGTCTATAGTTCCTTTGTCTTACAGTTACTGACTAAAATGCAGAACGTTTTTGGGTGGAAGCAGTGCCAGAAGCCACAGGGTCAGGAATGCTCCACACAAAACACTCCCTGCCAGAAGTTCGACTTTAGTTAAAAGGGAACAGTGTAAATTTCATGCAATAAAAAGAACAGCGCATTTATTTTGTAGTTACTGTAAGGGAAAGACACGGATGAATTTTGATCCCTTGAACTGAATTTCCCTGAGCAAAGCTTCCAAATACTCTGAACAAAATTCTTTCCTCCGAGGTCCTTTTGGACCACTTGAAATGCACATACAGGTTAGGATTTCCAGTTAGCATCCCTCCTGGCAGAACACACAGGTAGCCACTCTCAGCAAATGCAGTGGTAAAAGAGGAAGCCAAATGACACTAAAACGCTTGAAGCAGCCTGGCAGTCTCCCAACTAATTAGCTGGTATTTGCCAGCCTATCTGAGAGAAGAAGTAGGTGCAAGTTCAAAAGAGTTGTCATGATCATCTCTCTCCCAGCTTGTCTGTGAAAGTAGAACAGGACAGGGAAACTGTTGTTTGTTATGGCTATATACCTGTTTTATTGTTGTAATATTCTGCTTATGACAGGCAACGTAACCAGTGATGATACTGTCCTGGCACAATTCTTTTCTCCCTCTCCAAGTCAATTCAGCATCAACATGCCCCAGTATTTTCAGTATTTCAGTATTTTCAACAACTCAACTGTTTTGTTGGATAGATTTTATTTTGCCTTTATTCTCTGTGTGGACCTTGACTGCTTTCACCTGACAGGTTCCTAGAGTCTGCAGTAATTAGATGAAATTCTGAATATCAGCCCTCTGACTCAGYGTGTCAAGCAGTTTTTGCACATCAGATACCAATTCAGTGACTACTGCAGAGAACTTGGTCTTAAATTTATGGCTCATGCTCCACATTAGGAAATACATTTTTTACAGTATTTGTGAAATAGCGTGACAGCCTGCAATAAGTGGACTTGGGGAGAGGGCTATTCATGAGTATTCATGGTTTCCTATGACACAGAAATACTGTGTTCCTCAAGCACATTTTTCCTCTGGCCACTGATCTAATGTCTAATACTGTCACCTGCTGGATATTTGCAGAATTGTTGCAAAGGGAGATCCAAAATCTTCAGTGTCTAACAATTCTTCTTGCTTTTTATCCTCCCTAAAAAAATTGTATTAAAATCCAGTTTTAAGATGATTCAGCATTTTGATGCCTATCACTTCAAAAGTCAGCTACACTTTTTTTAAAACAAAAAACAGAACAATTCTGTTTTGTAGGTATATCGAGCAAAAGGAAAAAAATACCTTTATGTTGTCCAGAATCTCTCTGTGCTGAATTTTTCTCAGGGAAGTTATTCCAATTGCAATCACTCTTACTTTGGATGAAGTACTAGCCAGTGCATGATCTCGAACAGCTTGGCCTAGCTGCCTTGTTATTCCAACACGTAAAGCACTGGTAAAAATCCAGGCACCTGAAATATTTTTTTTTAAAAAGTGACTAAAAAACATTTGTTTTAAGTGAACTCATTTGTGTATCAATTAACATCACTTATAGTACTCGATTAAATAACTGTTTGGTGATAATGAGGGTGTAACTTCAAGTGATTACACATTTAAGGAATGATTGCCTATAGTAATTTAGAAATAACTTACTTTTGCTGTTTTTATACAATAATTTTTATTTTCAAGGTATTTAAATACAGCTTTTAGACTACATTCAGCAAAGCCTTGAACTTCTAAAATAAACATGTGGGTAGTCTCACTGATATCAAAAGACATCATATAAATTTCTCTTCAATGCCTATAATACTAACCTGTGCTTTGAGCTGCCTTTATAAGTCCTTTTTTTAAGGTGTCCCGTAGCCAAGGTTTCATCTGGAAATTTTCTTCTTCCCCTACTAGAGAGACAACCAAATTGGGTGCAGGGAGCTTCCACTTGTTGAGCATCACTTCAAATATAATGCCAGGATGAATGGTACACGGCACCTTAATAAACTTCAACAAATAAAACAGAATATACTGAATAACAATGTGGTAGTAGGATGGGGGAGAGATGTCATTCACGGGATATGCAAAGACAAATTTATAATCATAAAAATTAAAAGCTTATTTGTACTCCTTGATAAACAGAGAAAGCTTCTTCAAGCAAGGTGTGGTAGAGAACTAAATATCAGGATGAATTTAGCAGGCTTCTGTAAAATTGTCATCAAGTCGGTTCCCCTGCTTAATTCTCTGTTAAAGCTTTAAAGAGAGTCTTGAAATAGCTTACCAGAATATTTATCAAGTTGAAATCCATAGTGCTTAATTACTTGCCAGTAAGTGGTAAAAGCAGGGAAATGATGCAAAGTGAAGGAAACTTTTTTTTTCTTTTTTTTTAATTCTTTTTTAAAAATTCTTTTTCTTTTTTTTTTTTAATTTTAAGGAAAAAAAAAAATCACCAGCTGTACTTGTAGCAGGTCTGTGTCAATCAAATGACTGATTTCTGTTTATGCCTTACTTAAAATGACATTGATATTCATTAAGGTGTGGTCCCTATCTGAGCACACAGTGCTGCTTTCCCTGGTGGCACGCTGACCTTGGCTGTTGCCACAGTCCCTGTATTTAATGCCACAGTCCCTGGAGTGTCCCAGCTGAACAGCAATGGTGCCAAGGGGCTAGGAGCTCCTCGGTGTTGTACCTTTCCACGTTTCTTCCCAGAAGCTGTGAAGTCGATCTCTCCTACGCAGTATGGCAGTTCTCTTCTGAAAGCTTCTTCTTTGTCACTGTTGCAGTGCTTGGCTTCTGTTTCCTCCATTTGATTTGTAGGGCGACCACTAGCAGGCCAGGGTTCACTGAGATGAGGAAAAAATAGAATAGAAATGATTAGAATTCTCATTTTCTAATTCGGTTCAGTTGTAATTGACAGCTCACAAAGTCCAGGAATTTACATCTAGCTGAGTTTTCAATCAAATATTTTACTAATTTACTATTATACTTATAAGCCTTAGCTAAAATTGGAGAGCTCTGTACCAAGTGTTGGATGTATACACAGGAGAGAAGGTGGTGGCTTCTACACCAAAGCCCTGTAACTTAAATTATAGAAGGACAGGCTGGAGGAAGGCATCTTCGCTTTCATTTAGAAGGAACAAAAGCCTGCAGTCTGTCCTGGGTCGTATGAGTTATCTCGGGGCCAGGAACTGAACCCGAATTCTGCGAGACAGAAGGACGTTGCCTCAGCCCAGAACTATTGCAAGCAAGAGCAGAGTGGTGTCACTGAAYGTCTGAATCACAGTTTCCTGATGTAATTCATCACACTACTATGGCTTCTATTATCCAATGTGAGCACTGAATAACTAATTAATGACCTTGTACTTGCCTGAAGATGAGTTAGGAGTTTTATTCTGTTTGCAGCAGGA